AAGCCTTGGAAAGAAGCGGGTACTTTAGAATAAGGCTGATGTTGTTGCTGTTGCAGGTAACAATGAATTAACAAAAGAGCACAGTATTTTTAGTCTTATTAGAACACAGTTTTTTGAGCGCAGTTTTTTCAGTATTACAAAAGCACAATTTTTAGTATTATGAGCACAATTTTTTCAATATTTTTAAGGCACATAAGTCTAGGAGTTAAGAAGCACATAATTATAGATGTTTAGAGTTTAAGAAAGTGTGTTGTGTGCATTTTAGATTATTCACTATGTATTAGTAAAAGAAATTTTATCTGTTTGGTTAAGAACCTTTAACATTATAAGGTACTAGAGAATTATTTTAATCTTTTAGCTTATAAAACACAGCGATATGGAACTCAAAAGTATGTTTGTGTGAAGGTATGTTTGACAGTGGCCACTGTGAGAGTTTGTATGTGTGTATGGGTGTGAATGTGTGATGATTAATGTGTTTTGATAACAAATACACAAACACCTTTAAATAAAAACAGAAGACACATAACCCAAAATTGAAGGGAGTTCCATTTACAGCAGTGTTTTAGACTGAATAAAAACTTTTAAGAATAAATCTTATATTTAGAAGCACTTTTAAGCAAAATTTAAGAGCACAAATCTTGAAATTAATAGGTTATTAAGTTTGTTAATGGTAGTAGTATTGTTATATGTAATTGTGTTTATTGATATGTTATTGGTACAATAAAAAATGTTAAGGAAATGCAATTTAAATTGTTCAAAACTTAAATGGAGATTTGTTGGAGTATAGAGATTGTATGTGAACAATGTGTCCGTACCTCTTCATCAACACTTCTCTGTGTTTATCTTCTGCTACTTGTCTCATCACTGCTTGAGGTACTATGACTTATTCTTCTGCTGTTACCCACCATCCTTCAGAATTTAGATGGTCTTCCAAAATTTCAGCTAACTTTTCATCTTGACCTTGGTACTCTGGGGTTACATTTGAAAAGTTCATGCATTTTGATGGAGCAACTATTAGGATGCTTTTGTCTGCCATGTCTCTACAAGTTCTATCTGCTAGTCAATTTCCTACATTAGTTGTTGCATTTTCAAATTGATGAGCTTTACAATGCATGAAAACCACTTCAGTTGGTAACTGAATATTTTCTAGTCATTTCCTAATAACATCTCCAAATTTGACAGGGGATCCTTGTGCTGAAAGGAGCCCTTTCTTTCTAGATAGCTCCATACTCCTAATGCATATCTAGAATCAGTCCATATGCTGACATTCTTACCTGCAGACAATTCTAGGGCTCACTGCAGAGCGATGAGCTCAGCTTTTTGTGCAGAGATGTTAACAGGTAACAAGTTATCTTCAGTTATTTCTGTTTGGGTCATACACAGATTTCTGCTTTCCTTTGCACACAAAACTGCTCCCATCTGTCAATAGTTCCCAGCCCGGATCTTCTACTGAAGTATCCCTTAAATCTTATCTGCTGGAGTAAACCTGCTTGATAGTTAGAAGACAGTAATTTTGTAAGTCTTAGCATTCTGGTACAGATTCAAGGAATATAGTTGGGCAGTAGTCATTTTCAGTTCTACATCATCCTGTTCCAACAGGATGACTTGATATTTATGCATCTTATTTGGAGATAACCAGTGACCCCTCCTTTTGTTCTAGAACAGAGATAACCATGTGTGGAACATAAACAGCAATTTTCTGGCCCATGGTCAATTGCCAGTCTTCTTGTATTAAAAGGACAGTTGCTGCTACAACTCATAGGCAGTTATAAGTCTCTTATTTACATTGTCCAGTTCTTTGGAAAAATATCCCATGGCCCTTTTCCATGCCCCCAGCCTATGAGTTAGCACACCTAATGCAAGGTGTGAGTGTTCATGTACAAACAGTTCAAAAGGTTTGGTCAAATCAGGTAATTCCAACACAGAGGCTGATATTAGAACTGTACTTAAGTTTCTGAAAGCCGTCTGGTATTCTGAACTCCACTGTAGTATCTCCTTAGAGTTTCTCAGGGCCTCATATAAAGGTCTTACCAACAGTCCATATTAGGAATCCATAGCTGACACCAACCTACTATTCCTAGAAATGTTCTTAACTCACGTACAGACCATGGCTCCAGAGTTTGGCAAATTCATAGAATCATAGAATCAACTGGGTTGGAAAAGACCCCCGAGATCATCAAGTCCAACCCTTGATCCAACACCACCGTGGTTACCAGACCATGGCACTGAGTGCCACATCTGGTCCCATCTTAAAAACCTCCAGGGACAGGGAATCCACCACCTCCCTGGGCAGCCCATTCCAGTGTCTGATTACACTCTCTATAAAGAATTTCTTCCTAATATCTAACCTAAACTTCCCCTGGCACCGCTTAAGATCATGCCTTCTTGTCCTACTTCTGGTTGCCTGGGAGAAGAGACCAACCCCCACCTGGTTACAACCTCCTTTCTGATAGTTGTAGAGAGTGATGAGGTCTCCCGTGAGCCTCCTCTTCTCCAGGCTGAACAGCCCCAGCTCCTTCAACCTCTCCTCATAGGACTTGTGCTCGAGTCCCTTCACCAGCCTGTTGCTCTTCTCTGGACCTGCTCCAGCACCTCCACATCCTTCCTGAACTGAGGGGCCCAGAACTGGACACAGTACTCCAGGTGTGGCCTCACCAGCCCTGAGTACAGGGGAAGAATCACTTCCTTGGACCTGCTGGCTACACCGTTCCTGATCCAGGCCAGGATGCCACTGGCCTTCTGGCCACCTGGGCACACTGCTGGCTCATGTTCAGCTTCCTGTCAATCCAAACTCCCAGGTCCCTGGCTGCTCTCCAGCCACTCTGTGCCCAGCCTGTAGCGCTGCATAGGGTTGTTGTGGCCAAAGTGCAGGACCTGGCACGTGGCTTTGTTAAACCTCATCCCGTTGGATTCAGACCATCTCTCCAGCTTGTCTGAAGAGCCCTCCTGCCCTCCAGCAGATCAACACTCCCTGCCAACTTGGACAATCTGCAAATTTGCTAATGGTACGCTCAATCCCCTCACCTATATCATCAATAAAGATACTAAACAGGACTGGGCCCAACACTGATCCCTGGGGGACACCACTAGTGACTGGTGCCAACTGGATGTAGCACCATTCACCACCACTCTCTGGGCCCGGCCCTCCAGCCAGTTCCTAACCCAGCACAGAGTGCTCCTGTCCAAGCTGTGGGCTGCCAGCCTTTTCAGGAATATGCTAAAAAAGCTCCTTCCTTTTTGGTCTGAGGCTTTGCTGTACCTAGGAAATGGTGAATCCCAGATATGTCACATGCTTTTTGGCAATCTGGACCTTCTTGCTGGTTACCCTGTAACCAGCTTGTCCCAAAAAGTTTAGTAAACTTACAGTCGTTTTAATGCATCCAGTTTGAGTTTCTGTAGCAATTAAAATATCATCTAATACTGCAGCAAAGTGATTTCTTCATTCCCCTTTTTCCATATTTCCAATTCATTTGCCAATTGGTTCCCAAACAAAGTGGAGCTATTTTTAACCATTTTGGGAGAACAGTTCACAGTAATTGGGTTTTACAGGCCATTGGGCTTTCCCGTTCAAAGGCAAACAATGGTTGACTTACAGTTTCAAGCGGTATGCAGAAGAAAGCATCCATAAGATCCAAAACACTGAACTGCTCATCAGATCCTTTAATTGTGTTAAAAGTTCATAAGGATTTGCTACTACTGGGTATATGTCTTGCACTATTTTATTAATAGCTCTGAGATCTTGCACTAGCTAGTATTCATTGGTATGTGGCTTCTTTAGCAGTAGGATAGGAGAATTATATTCTGTCTCATGTTCCCTTGTTGCAAAAATTTAGCAATTAATTCTTCTAACCCTTGCCTAGTGTCTAACTTCAAAGGATATTGTTTCTGCCTTACTGGTCTGGCAGCAAGTTTCAACTGTATTCTTACTGGTTCTACTGCTTTCGATTTCCCTGAAATTCCAGTATCCCACACCAACGAAGTGACAGCGTTTTGCACCTCTGGGACATTGCTGCTGCACTGGTAACTAACTGGCTAGGGAGAATTTTAAATGCATTTGGGTTTTCCATGTCAGGGTGGCTACCTAGCCTCTTTCAGACTTTGATAATGATTACAATTGTGATTATTGTAATTTGGACTACTGTCCATTGCATTAAGATCACTATAATAAAATCAGTCTCCACAGTAAAATATACTCCCTTAAACCCCACCTGTGACACTGACATGCTCCCAAAACTGACCTATATAATTGACATTCCCCATCTGCCTCCTGTCAACGTTAGATATCCTCATAGAATGCTAATATGTCCCTGTTTGTCCATTGCTACTGTTAATTGTTCCTATGATGTTGGTTACTACTGCATGCTTATTTATTCTCATTGTTGATTGATTGTTCATTGCTAATGGTACTTGAAGAATGATAATCCACAGTAGGCATTGCAACTCAATAATATTGTGTGTCCTATTAACTTTGAAGGCAAGAGGTGTCCACAGTGTCACTCCAAAGACACTGGTTGGATCATGATGGTGGTGCTGGGGTAGAGTATGGCAGAAGCACCCAGTATCCCCACTTTCAGCATTGTCATTGGTGTTGATGCCCTGCTGAGGAGGGAAAGACCTTCTGGGTTGTGCTTTTTTGTGCTACAAATGAGGTGACTTTGATGTGGTATGTTTTGTCTCCCTGTCTATTTGCACTGTATTACAAGAGGCCTGTGGGGAGGTTGCCGTCTGACCCATTGGGACAAGCATGAGAACCTTGGAGGATGAAGACATAGGGGTTTGAGAGAAGATCTGACAGAGAATCCAGGTAAAGAACACGTCTGGAGCCATCCTCAAGGCAACACATGCCCATAGTTCAGACATCTTCTGTATGAACATGATCTCTCCATCAATAAACATATATTCATGGCAACTGCCTACCACAATAGGCACTGCTGATTGTCGGCACATGTCACAGAGCCCTCTGTGAGCCACTACCTTTGTGACCTGTCTCTGGCATTGACACAGCCACCCCACATAACGCTGGCAGACAAAACAAGACAGGATAGGACAAAGGGGTGCTGCAAGGAGCCTCTGTACAACCACTTCATGCTTTTCTGATGCAAAATTCAATGGGATGGCAGAAAAATTGCCCAGTATGCCCTGGCTGGCCTGGGTTGGGCGGGGAGGGGAGGAGGAGGAGGAGAAAGGCCGAGGGGCTGCCCAAGCACAACAGCCTGAAGAAGTGGAAACAGTCCAGCCACTGCAGACAGGTAAGTGGCTGAGCTGGGCCATAGGGCTAGGGCTGCAGCTCAATCCTATCCCCCATGGACATCCCCAGGGAGCAAGGAGCAGTGGGAATGGAGCTGATTCCCCCAGCATCCAACTCCATCCACCAGGCACCCTCAGCCCCAAGCTGCTGCCAGAAGAGACAGGAGTTGGTGCCCCCACTATTCCCTGTCCCAGGACTGTCCGTACCTGGGGAGTGGAAGGCTTGACTGTGTTCTCCAGCCTCTCCTGCAGTCCCTAAGCCCTGACTGTTCTTGGGTTTTGCCAGATCCACTTGGGGAACTGCCAGAGGAGGAGCACACCCATGGACTCTTCTACAGATGCACACAGGTATCCACAGACTTCCATGCCTGGGATGGGGCTGCTGTTTCTGCTTAGTGGATGACAGCTGTCAGAGCACTGGATGTGACATCCTTCTCTTCCCTGCCCTTAGATGTTTTCAGACTTCCATAAGACCACTAATCATGAAGGCATGGTCCTTGAGGGCACGGCAACCTCCAGCTCCTGCAAAGCAGAGGATTGTGCTGCCATAGTGGATATTATCATGGGAAGTGGCAGCTCCCATTTGAATAAAGTAAGTAACTTGTGGCCAGGGCTGGAGTCCCCCATGAAATGTGAACCCTCTCAAGCTGGGTCTGCTGGCCATCCAACAGACTTTCAGATCAGCAAAATAGGGTAGAAAAGGAAGCATTTCTCATGGGAAGCTGTTGAAATGCCTCACTCTATCAACACTCCAGTTCTCTGCTGTGTCTCCTCCAGGTGCCAACCATTGTGAGGGAAATTCACCAACAGCTTATGAAGAACACATATATGTCTCAAGAAGACAGGTTGAAGAAGACCCTTCAGGAGATGACAGTTGCAGAGCCCCATGATGTGGTGGTGACCCTTCTGCGCTGCGCCCCATCGTGTGACAGGTACGGAGCCCACCTTCTCTGAGGGCTCAGGACTCACAAGCCATTAGAGCCCACCAGCCTACAGAGCCAATCTCATGTGGGCTGCCAGACAGATAGAGATTTTCAGGTGCCTCTGACCCCTCTGTGTGCTAGCTGTGCTATGCCAGCCACAGAGCCCATTGCCACACTCCCTTTGTGTCCATCAATGCACCATTACTTGTCTACCTGCTACCTGCAGAGGCAGGCTCACTGAGTGCTGCTGGTGAGGGGCAGTGGACAGAGGCAGGGCTGGTGGCCAGCCAGGGCCTCTATGGCTGCCCAGGCCATGGTGTTGTGGCCAAGACCCCACTGACACAGAATTCTGGGCCTGCAGAGCTGCTGTGACCATGTGGAAGGCAATCGTCTCCTCAACCAGAGCTGCGGAGAAGGTGCTGCCGGAGCTGCTGTGCGTGCTGGAGGACTGGCCGCTGCACAGCACATCCACCTCTGACAAGGACGACTCAGACATCTTTTCCCTGGCTGTGAGTTGCTGGACTAGACCGTAGCACATCCTCAGGGGCTACCTCTCTGGCATCTCTCTATCCTTCCTCCTGCACCAGTGATCTCCCCACCTCATGTGATGGGCTGGAAATCTTGGTTAAGGGCAGGTTCAGAGGCAGCCATGTCAGATGCTCCCCCTGCATCTCCCCTGGACCAGGGCAATGCCTGAACCTCACCCTCCCACACTTGGGCCCTGCCATGGGGATGTCTCAGTGCTGAGTGCAGTCTTTGGGTGTTTTGTTTTTTGCAGGCAACTATAGCACTGTGGGAGATCACCCATCTGCCCCACCATCCAGAGGCACTGATGATGTACTTCCCCCGCCTCTTTGTGGCTCTGCTATTCCAAATCTTCTCCAGCACAGCACAGATGCCAGTAGAAGTCAATACCTTCTGGAGGAGATGCCAGCAGGAGCACTGCCTTCCCACCAACCCCAACAGGTGTTCCATCACAGTCCTCCCGCCCCTCCCATGCCCTTGGAGCTGGGCTCAGGAATCCTGGCATGACCTGGGCTTTGCTCTGTACGCAGATTCATAGTGCAGACCATGAAATCACTGCTCTGCCATCTTGAGTATGAGGATGTGGTGTCTGAAGTTGAACATGAGTGTGGCTGGGACACATTCCTCAACATTGACAATCACCAGTATGCAGTGGGTCTGCTGGCCAGGTGAGACCTCCCTTCTCCCTGCTCCCCTGTCATTTCTCCCCAGGAGATGAGGTGTCCCCGACATAATCCCTGTGGTCGTGGGTGGAGGGACTTGTCACTGAGGCATGGCCCTGCAGAGTGGAAAAGCCTGGGAGAGCTGGGTGCTCTGGAGCAGCCACAACCCAAAGTGCCAGTATGGCCTCCCGTGAGTCCTGGGCTGATGGCACAGAACAGGAGGTCTGTCTGCAGGGAACCTCACTGAGGATAGCCTGTCAGGGCCAGAGAGATTTGGGGCCAACCATTGATGGCCATCCACAGCCTGGTTGCTCATATCCCCTGTGCGTAGAAAGGTGTTTTTTCAGTCTGGTCATCCTCAACAGTCCCTGCTGGTGTTGGGTACTGCCTTTCTCCTTTGGAGAGGTGGTGGAGAAGGATCAGGCTTTGGTAATTCAGTCTCTGGAGAGGTTTGCCCACCCTGCTCAGGGTCAACGATGCCTTTTTTCCTCCTCCAGAGCAATGCTCAGGGTCTCACAGTGCTTGTGTTACCGGATTGCACGCTACCTGTTCAGGCTGCTCCGCAGAGAGGAGGCTCGCTGGGAAGTCTCTGCCATGGCATTCTTTGTTGAGGTGAGCCTGATGGCAAGTGCTGCCTCGCTGAGCTGCCTCCCTCCACTCTGCCCTGTTCAACACACAGCTGTGGGGGGAATTGCAGTTTGTGGAGCTGGGGCAGAGGGTGGGCTCTGCTGTGTGCTCTTGGCCCCCTGCTGCTAGAGTCAACCCTGCTTCCAACTTCAGCTTCACATTTTCAAGATTCTTTTGCTTATCTACATGCAGTGCCTGGACATGATGGAAGGAGAAGAAGCAAATAACTTTCTGCCTGTATTTCAGCATCATATTATGCCACGAACACCACATATGACCACAGTCACTGCTCTGTATGTTTCAGCTCCTGCCTTGCCTTAACATAAAGGAATGGGATGAACGTATCCTGCAACTTTTCCCAATCTACCTCAGGAGAGATTGCAGAGAGATGCGTCTCCTGCTGCTCAGATGCCTCCTACTGCTCTGCAAGAGACCCTCTATGGTAAGAAGCAGGCAGCTGGCTGAAGCTGTGCTGGCCATGTGGGGCTGGGTAACACAGTAGTTTGGACTTGTCTGGGCTTCAGGAGCTGTGTCACCTGCTGCCAGCATTCCTGACTCCCCATTCAGCCACCGGAGTCCTTCAGAACTGGCCTCTGGCTTCTTTGTTCTGAGGCAGTAGTGTGGGGTTGAACTGCTGGAGTGGTTTTGGCAATGCAGCCTTTGATTGCTTCAGAACATTGCATTGTGCTCCACGCAGGCCAACACTATCCGGGCCTTGACTGAAAGCCTCACAGAGGTACTGAAGGATAAGGACAGAGAGCTGGTGGGCATGACCCTTTCTGTGCTCAGCGAGGTGCTCCGGGACGCAGATGTGTCAATTGTCAGTTCCACTGCTGTGCAGCTGGCTGAGGCACTCCTGCCACTATTTGAGAACGTAAGGCTCTGTGCCTCCTGCCAGGGGCACTGGGTGCTGCTAGGAAACTTTATACCCTGCAGAATTTCAGGCCCATGCCCAGGTGGGCCTGGAGAAGCTGGTGCTGAGGTCTTGCCCTCTTCATTTCCACTAGGACATTAGCCATGTGCAGCTCCTCTCCATTCACCTCTTTCAAGTGCTAATGGAGTTGGTAGAGGAAGACGGAAAAAAGCTCCTGGAGAAGAGTGTGCGCCAGAGCCTGTTCCTACTGTTCCGCCACTTGCATGATGAGAACCAGTGTGTGGCACAGGTGAGGACTTCTGAAATGTTGGTGTCCATGTTGGAGGTGACTCAACTGCCTCCTGTGCTCCCGTCTCTTCCTGCTCTTAGCTACAAAGCAGCAGTTCTGGGAACCTCTGTTCTCCTGTCCTGGCAGCACCAGATGCCTGAGATGGGGGTTGACCCATCACTTTACCCAGGCACCAAACCCACTGATGGACAAGTTTCCCAGATGCTGCATATTCCCACTAAGGGCCAGGAAAGGCCAGGAGCCTTGTCAAGGTATAAGGGATGCAGGTCCTGTGACCTCATCAGTGGTTCCATCTCCCGGTATCTGCTGCTCTATAGGCTTTTTGGGAAACTCTGCTTCAAGCCAACATGTTCCTGCAGGAGAGGAAGCTCGAGCAACTGTTGGAAAAGACATGGAGTGTTGACAAGTGCCTGGTGAGGATAGATTCAAAGCCCCAGACTCATCCTGGGGACTCAGAATCCCTTTTAAGGCCAGCACAGTGTTGTAGAAAAGGAAACATTTCTCGTGGGAAGCTGGGGAAATGCCATGCTCTATCAGCAATCCAGTTCCCTGCTATGTCTCCTCCAGGTGCCAAGCATTGTGAGGGACATGTATCAATGGCTCACATTCATAATGGATGTGTCTGCTGAGCACAGACTGGACAAGAGCCTTCAGGAGATGAGCCTTGCACAGTCTCATGATGTGGTGGTGACTATTCTGCGCTGCGCCCCATCATGTGACAGGTATGAGGTTTATCTGCTTTGAGTGCTGAGGACTCACAACTGATTAGAGCTCATCAGACCCATGACCCCTCTGTTTCCCTGTTGTGCCATGTCAATTGTGCCCTCCAGGGCACCATTACTTGTCTGCCTGCTACCTGCAGAGGCAGGCTCACTGAGTGCTGCTCAGTGGACAGAGGCAGGGCTGGTGGCCAGCCAGGGCCTCTATGGCTGCCCAGGCCATGGTGTTGTGGCCAAGACCCCACTGACACAGAATTCTGGGCCTGCAGAGCTGCTGTGACCATGTGGAAGGCAATCGTCTCCTCAACCAGAGCTGCGGAGAAGGTGCTGCCGGAGCTGCTGTGCGTGCTGGAGGACTGGCCGCTGCACAGCACATCCACCTCTGACAAGGACGACTCAGACATCTTTTCCCTGGCTGTGAGTTGCTGGACTAGACCGTAGCACATCCTCAGGAGCTACCTCTCTGGCATCTCTCTATCCTTCCTCCTGCACCAGTGATCTCCCCACCTCATGTGATGGGCTGGAAATCTTGGTTAAGGGCAGGTTCAGAGGCAGCCATGTCAGATGCTCCCCCTGCATCTCCCCTGGACCAGGGCAATGCCTGAACCTCACCCTCCCACACTTGGGCCCTGCCATGGGGATGTCTCAGTGCTGAGTGCAGTCTTTGGGTGTTTTGTTCTTTTACAGGCAACCAGAGCGCTCTGGGAGATCACCCATCTGCCCAACCATCCAGAGGCACTGATGATGTATTTACCCTGCCTCTTTGTGGCTCTGCTATTCCAAATCTTCTCCAGCACAGCACAGATGCCAGTAGAAGTCAATACCTTCTGGAGGAGATGCCAGCAGGAGCACTGCCTTCCCACCAACCCCAACAGGTGTTCCATCACAGTCCTCCCGCCCCTCCCATGCCCTTGGAGCTGGGCTCAGGAATCCTGGCATGACCTGGGCTTTGCTCTGTACGCAGATTCATAGTGCAGACCATGAAATCACTGCTCTGCCATCTTGAGTATGAGGATGTGGTGTCTGAAGTTGAACATGAGTGTGGCTGGGACACATTCCTCAACATTGACAATCACCAGTATGCAGTGGGTCTGCTGGCCAGGTGAGACCTCCCTTCTCCCTGCTCCCCTGTCATTTCTCCCCAGGAGATGAGGTGTCCCCGACATAATCCCTGTGGTCGTGGGTGGAGGGACTTGTCACTGAGGCATGGCCCTGCAGAGTGGAAAAGCCTGGGAGAGCTGGGTGCTCTGGAGCAGCCACAACCCAAAGTGCCAGTATGGCCTCCCGTGAGTCCTGGGCTGATGGCACAGAACAGGAGGTCTGTCTGCAGGGAACCTCACTGAGGATAGCCTGTCAGGGCCAGAGAGATTTGGGGCCAACCATTGATGGCCATCCACAGCCTGGTTGCTCATATCCCCTGTGCGTAGAAAGGTGTTTTTTCAGTCTGGTCATCCTCAACAGTCCCTGCTGGTGTTGGGTACTGCCTTTCTCCTTTGGAGAGGTGGTGGAGAAGGATCAGGCTTTGGTAATTCAGTCTCTGGAGAGGTTTGCCCACCCTGCTCAGGGTCAATGATGCCTTTTTTCCTCCTCCAGAGCAATGCTCAGGGTCTCACAGTGCTTGTGTTACCGGATTGCACGCTACCTGTTCAGGCTGCTCCGCAGAGAGGAGGCTCGCTGGGAAGTCTCTGCCATGGCATTCTTTGTTGAGGTGAGCCTGATGGCAAGTGCTGCCTCGCTGAGCTGCCTCCCTCCACTCTGCCCTGTTCAACACACAGCTGTGGGGGGAATTGCAGTTTGTGGAGCTGAGGCAGAGGGTGGGCTCTGCTGTGTGCTCTTGGCCCCCCGCTGTGGGGGTTACAGGTATGACTGCTCTCACTGCTCTGTCATTTCAGCTCCTGCCTTGCCTAAACTTAGATAAATGGGATGAACGTATCCTGCAGCTTGTCCCAATCTACCTCAGGAGAGATTGCAGAGAGATGCGTCTCCTGCTGCTCAGATGCCTCCTATTGCTCTGCAAGAGACCCTCTATGGTAAGAAGCAGGCAGCTGGCTGAAGCTGTGCTGGCCATGTGGGGTTGGGTAACACAGTAGTTTGGACTTGTCTGGGCTTCAGGAGCTGTGTCACCTGCTGCCAGCATTCCTGACTCCCCATTCAGCCACCAGAGTCCTTCAGAACAGGCCTCTGGCTTCTTTGTTCTGAGGCAGTAGTGTGGGGTTGAACTGCTGGAGTGGTTTTGGCAATGCAGCCTTTGATTGCTTCAGAACATTGCATTGTGCTCCATGCAGGCCAACTCAATCGTGGCCCTGACTGAAAGCTTCACAGAGGTACTGAAGGATAAGGATGGAGAGCTGGTGGGCATGACCCTTTCTGTGCTCAGCGAGGTGCTCCGGGATGCAGATGTGTCAATTGTCAGTTCCATTGCTGTGCAGCTGGCTGAGGCACTCCTGCCTCTATTTGATAATGTAAGGCTCTGTGCCTCCTGCCAGGGGCACTGGGTGCTGCCAGGAAACTTTATACCCTGCGGAATTTCAGGCCCATGCCCAGGTGGGCCTGGAGAAGCTGGTGTTGAGGTCTTGCCCTCTTCATTTCCACTAGGACACTAGTGATGTGCAGCTCCTCTCCATTCACCTCTTTCAAGTGCTAATGGAGTTGTTACCAGAAGAGGAAAAAAAACTCCTGGAGAAGAATGTGCACCAGAGCCTGTTACCGCTCTTCTTTCACATGTATGATGAGAACCAGTGTGTGGTGCAGGTGAGGATTCTGAGCTCCTGCTGTCCCCTGTGAAGGGGGCTCAACTGCCTCCTGCCCTAACACCTTGCATTCTGCAGTTGCTCCTGCCTCCTCTTGGCCTTGACCACAGGGATGCAGGTCCTGTGTTCTGGGCTGCTGTGCCATCTCCCAGTCTCTCCGACTCTGCAGGCCTCTTGGGAAACCCTGCTTCAAGCAACAAAGTTCCTGAAGAAGTGGAATCTTGAGGAGTTGCTGAAGACAGAAGAGATGTGGAGGTTCGGCGAGTGCCTGGTAAGGATGGCCTTGAAGCCCCAGACCCAGCCTGAACAAGCTCTTTGCTCCCGATACTCAGTGTGTGAGGGTACCAGCTGTGGCCCCTGTCCACTCCTGCACACATCACCACCAGCCTGCACCCCACACACTACTCTCCTCGGGTGTGTGGCCCAGCAAGCTCTTCTCCAGGCTCTTCTCTCTCCCTGAGCCAGGGTGCTGACAGAGTCCTGACCCAGCTGTGCTTTGGCATCAGAGTGATACTGGGGCTCCCTGGGGAGCACTCAGCCCTCTGCTCCCTCCAAACCTTGGCACCAGCCAGCTGCTGGCTGTGTCTCCTGAGTGTCCAAGCAGGGAATGTCAGTCCTGGGTGCAGGAGCTGCTCAGCCAAGGGAAAGAATCAGTGCCAACCCTTCCCTGTGTCCCCTTCTGCTCTCTCTAGCTGGCAGAGGACAGAAGCAGAGCAGACGAGTACCTGCGCCAGTCCGTGTCATACCTGCATAGCCCACAGAAGTCCATACGGGAGGCAGCCATCAGGCTCACTGGTGAGCCACAACCCCCAGAGTCCCTTGCCACCCCACTGCAGCTTGGCCTCAGCTCTAGCTGGTGCACTGGCAGCAGGACCCAGCCCAGTGGCTGTGGTACCCTGACTATGTCTCAGGACTCTCTGCCACTCTCTCCTACCCTTGCCCTTGTGCTTTATACGTGGCTCAGTCCTGCCAAGGGGAGGATTACGTGCAGCTGGGCTGGCAGAGCTGGTGTCGGGGAGCTGTGCTGCTGAGGCCATGATAGGCTGTGTGTTCCTAGGGCACATGAGGGGGCAGGAAGAATTGCTCCAGGTCACCTGTGAGGGTGAATGAGGGCAGCAGGCTGTCAGCAGGGACTGGCATGAAAGGAGGAAGGATCCTGGACAGCTGGAGAGGGTTCTGCTCCCTGCCCAGACAAAGGGCAGTGTGGGCAGAGCAGAGAGAGACTTTAGGAGCTTGTGTGGTATTCATGGCAAACAGTTTAGGGCTTACCCTCTTAGTTCCTGCTCCCTTCTGACCATGGGAAGGGCTGGGTGGGGTGACCCTGGCAAGAGGGGTTCCTGAGGTCCCTAAACCTTGGCTCTGTTCCTCTCTGTTTCAGCACGTCAAGGCACGACAAATAACTTTAGCATCTCCATCTCAAACCTCGCAACTCAAACCCTGCACTTTCTAAGAGCTGTAGAGAGACATCCTTCCTTCAGATTCAGGCTGCCGCAAAACCAGCTCTGCATGGCGTGGAGGAGGCGGCCCTCTCTCTTGGACAATGGCTGGCCTTCTGTCTGCTACAGTGGTCAGCCACACTGCTGGAGGTCTCTGCAGAGCTAATCCTGGGAGCTCTGTCTGCTGGGGCCACCTGAGTGTGCAGGAAATACTAGGTGGCTTCTGGCCTCTCCCGACCCACAGGACAACTCTTCTCTAAGACCATTTTTCTTTATGTCTTTTAAGGAAAGTTCTTTTATGCAAATATCGGCACTAGTTCAGGACCTTTTATCTCAGGCTCCTGCCATCCAGAGCCCACTTTGCAGCTTGCACTGCAGCTGCACACTGACCTATCTGCACTGAATGTACTCCTCAACAGTCCTAACTTTGTTTTAATTGAGCATACCAGGTAATACATTGAAAGGGACAAAAGGAAAGTTTCAAGGCACTTAACCACTGCCCTAACATCAACATTATAACAAGTAACAAACTTAACACAATTAAGGGCAGAAATGATTATCAGTATAAAATCACACAGGATTCTCAGAAGTCTGTTACTGGGACAAGTATTCATCTCCATCCAACAAGCTGGTCTTAACTGGGATATAAGTTCACACACAGAACATGTTGAGTTGGAAGGGACCTACAAGGTCCTCAAGTTCAACTCTTAAATGAATGACCCATATGGGGATCCAACCTGCAAACTTGGTGTTATTAGCACCATCTTCAAACCAACTGATCTCTTAATGACATATTCAGTTGATTGATTATATTTGCTGTAAAATGAGCACCCCTGTCTGGTTCAATTGACTTGGTGCCCCTGCTGCAACTGGATCTGGTTGCAAGAGATCTCTCATCAGGTCCGAATTTCTACACTACCTCTCCACTAGCTATTTTCTGGCTCCTAGTTCTCAGTTGCCTCAGTCAGAGACTTAGCCATTTCTCCTAACTGGGAATCCCATAGCTCCAAGAAAACCAGATGTGGGAGTTTAATTATGGCCTCTATTTTTTCTGGATCTATCACTCATTGCCCCTTCCCCAAAATACAGCCAAATATTTATCTTTCCTTTTGACACAGCTGAAGTTTGGATGGAGATGCATGCTGTTCCCTTTTTGCTAGTGCAATACATCTAGTATACAAGCATTCTCATCACAATTTGCTAATGAGAAATCACCTACATGGACCGATTGTACAAGAGCTGATACCGAAATAAATGTATACGTAGAAAAATGTGCTTTTATAATTTTTTTAAAATATACACAAAATTACCATCATTACAAGCAAGTAGTAGTCCACAAGAATCTCATATATATACAAAAAATAAAGCAGTGTTTCAGCTGACATATGTCTTCTAGAGAACCTCCTCCAGGCATGGTATTTCCAATTTACACCAAAACAATCAATTCAAGTAGTTACAAAAAGCACATGGTGTGCCTCTACATGCAGATCTTCCTGGTTCCCTCTTTTTGAAGAGATTCCATGTGCACACAGCAGCAACCCAGAGTGAACAATTCTTTCAGTGGGTGTTTGTGCTTTCTAGGGACGTGATCCATCTGTTCACCAATTGCCTATTAGTTGCAAAGAAAACTTAGAGTGTGTTGAAGGAATCACCACACACTAAAACACTGTCTATCATGATATAGCACATCTATATCTTTCTAAATGCTTAAGCAACTCTCCTATCAATCTTTTCTTGCTATCCTGAGGTTCAGTTAATCCCTCAGATCATCCCCCAGTGTTTGCAATGCAATGCTGAGAGATGGGCTGTTCCCCTTGGAGACCTGCTGTGGATACGGGTACAGCCTGCTGCAGAATGTCCCCCTCCCCCGGATGGCCACGGGCTGGTGAGAGCCTACTGTGCACCGGTGGAGTTCTGCCCAGAGCTCATGATGGTTTCTCTGGGATGGGTTACATCAGCAGACTAGGTGCCACGCACCACCCATCTCTGCCACTCCAGATCTGGGGATCTGAACCAATCTCCCCACTCCAATCGGAGATCATGAACCATCCATTCGGAACAGCGCTTTCCTGGTGCTTAGGACTGACTGACCCATGTTCAACAGCAGACTCTAAACTTCAAGTCCCCTTGCACGCCTTATGATCCCCTGCATGCCTTATGAGCGACTCCAAGCTCCCTGCATGTTTTACAGGGGACCCCAGTCCTCTGCACGCCTTACGAGCTACCTCAGTCCCTTGTGCGACTTGGGAGAGACCCTAAAAACTCCCTTTTATGTGTGCCTTTCACTGATCAAGCTGCTCACCCATACTTGACCCACTACAGTAATTTCACCAACTATGTAAAATATGCTGCAGCAACAGAGAGACTAAAATAATCTGAGAAATTTAATAGTAATAATTTGAGATTCTTATGATTTATATTGAATATGCTCTGAGAATTTTAACACTCATCCTTTGAATCCTCCCTGCTCCAAAGGTCCCAGGTGAACTCACACAGTTTGGGTGTTCCCTTTTTGCTAGTTTGGATGTTTGGAAAAGGGCTCTGACAGTGGTGGGCTAGGGTCCCATTTGGATTGCCAAACTCTTAAGAAAACTTCCCTGTCCGACCACACTGCAACCCATTTGGCTGGGGATGTGATGTTCGTTGTAAATTCTCATCGGGCTGAACAAAGATACCAGTCCATGTGTCAGGGAACTCCTATCCTTTTATTATACAATTGCCTTAATTCTGGCAACTAGACCACTCTATAATCATAGAAGTGTTGGTTAACAAGCTCTCAACTTTTACAACTAACTTCAACAAGCTCCTAGTCCTCAACACAGACTTTGGTACAAGAGCAAGGGGTAGAATATGATAGCTGCGCCTTGTCACGACAAAACAAGAGAGGAATAAATAAAGACAGAACGGGGAGAAAGAGAAGGAAAATCTTAATGACTATGTGATTCTGTAAAACATTCAAAACAACAACGCTGAGGACTGCGATGATGTTACCCTACATATACCGTCATTCAATTAAATCGCATAATTCCTGACCTGACAGGTATCAGTGCTACTTCTTTAGTTACGGCCGACTGCGATACTATTGCCTACCACCACTCCAACGATACACACTTTTAACATGGGGTTAAAAAAAACAACCACGGCCATTTCCTTCCCTTTATCATGCGGCTCCGCCCTCCGCAGACAGCACGGCCGGGTCTCGGCACCGCCCGCTGCCAGCGAGGGAGGCGGCTCGCGCCTCGCTCCCTGCCGGGCGCAGTGAGCAGCGCGTGCGGCACCCGCGCGGCCCGGGCGGCCGCTGCTGCTCCGGCGGCGCTGCGCTCAGCGGCGGTGCGCGGAGCCCGCGCCGCCGCGCGGAGCCCGCCGCCGGGAGCCCGCCCGCGCGGAGCCCCCGGACGCCGCGGAGCCCCCCCCGCCGCGGAGCCCCCGCCGCGCGGAGCCCGCCGCCGCGGAGCCATGTCGGGCCCCCCCCAGGGGGCCCCCCCAAAAACGGCTCCCCGCCCAAAAGGGGGCAAAAGCTCGGCAAGGGGCGGGCGGGTCGGGCACCGCGGGCGGCGGCCGGTTCCGAGCGGAAAGGTCTGAGGGATGTCGCGTGGAGAGGAGCGTGGAGATTGGGGGTGAACTCGCTCTTGGAGCGGTTCGTACGGAGAGGACACAGGTGTGTGCGGCGGCCCGGCCCCGGGGAGTGGCGAGGCCGCAGCGGGGCCGGCGGACACTGGAGCCCGCGGGCCCCTCCCCGGGAGCGACGTCTGCCGGGCCCTGACCCGCCGGGCCCTGACCCTCACGGGCGTGCAGGGGCAGCCAGTCCCGGTGTGCTCGGGAAGCGTGGTGGGTTCGGGGATTGATAAACCCTCGTAGGATCGAGGTAATGTGTCAAGGATACTGCCTCCTGCGCTTTTACTTTTTTTTTAATTATCTTTCTAGAAATGGAATTTCCCTCTTCTTTCACTAGTACTGAAAGAGCGTTTGTTCACCGGCTCTGTCAGTCTCTTGGACTGATATCTAAAAGTAAAGGGTAAGTTGGACTCTGATTTTTATGTATTATTTTCTCTTTTTGGTGCGAATTTATGGAATTTCATTGCTAGCATGAAAACGATCTGTACTTCTAGGATATCTTGAACTGTTCCAGGGAATAGTACTAGAAAAAATAAAACCTTTATAACGTAGACATAAAATTTAGCACCTGATGTCTGCTTAAAAAAACCTTGTGACATACTAGTTTGAGGTACCTTGCTCCTGTGGATTCCATGTCCATAAAAAAGACTTCTCTCCAAGATGTGTTCTTCCTTTTGGTTTTTTTCATGAACTCCTGTATGTTCAAAGGCTTTGCATAGAATCTCACACCTTGACAGATGAAATGTAACTTCGAGCAGCAGGTCCAAAAGAGTGCCTCTATTGGGAAGTGCAGAAGAGGGTTGGAGTGTTGCCAGCAGGTGGAGGGAGGTCATCCTTGCCCACTACTCAGCACTGATTAGGCTACACCTGGAGTGCTGTGTCCAGTACTGGGATCACCAGGAGGACAGAGACCTAGATGGGGGAGAGTTCCATGAAGAACCAACAATGTGATGAAAGAACTGGAGCATCTCCCCTTTTAGGAAGGGGTGAGAGAGACTGTTGATCCTGGAGAAGACAAGGCTCAGGGGGATCTCATCAGTGTGTATAAATACTTAAAATGCATCAGTGTGTATAAGTACTTAAAGTGAGGATGTAAAGAAGACAGAAACTGAGTCTGCCAGAGTGGCTGTGCCTCTCCTCACAGAGACTGCCTGGGCCAGCACCTGGGTACCTGCACCACTCTTCTATTTCTGACAGGAACGAGGCACTGGGCTCTTGGTGTGACCTTCTGTTCTTACCGTGAGAAGTCATTTTCAAAGGGTTATTATGTCATTGTAGCCCAGGCACAAGGTGGTTCCGCTTCAAATGTGTTTACAACTACTCTTTACATTTCTGTGTCCGGGTTCAGTCTGAGGACAAATGCAGTGATACAATTAAATGTTATGGCACTATTTCTAAATAGAAAATTTTTGATAATGAACATAATGGGAATCTTAATTTGTTTTACTGGATTTTGTTAAGGCTTGGAATGTCACTAGCAGGCAACTTGTTTGCCTGCTTTGCCTCTTTGTTGATTTTTAACCTCTAGATCTCTTAAGTTAGTCTAGAAATTAGTTTTGTGTAGTAACTCTCAGTATTGATTGATAGAGCTGCCTGTATTTTGGGAGGCAAATGCAGTAATGGACCTTTAACCAAAGACAGCAGAAGAATGTCACATTACAGAGGCCTAATTGTAAGGTTGTGCTGAGCATAGTGATCTGAAGTCTACAGTGTCTGCTGCACTATCTCATGTGAACAGTGTGCATTTGGTAGTGGATATTGGGGATGTTGCTATTACTTTGGTGTGTGTTATGCTACTTTGGGCATAATTTGGAAGTTTCTGGTTATAACATTATATTTGAAAAAAATTTGACAGGTATCTTGAAAAAATTATGATCAAAGATTGTTACATTTGGGTAACTAGTTTGCTTATTCCTAAAATGCCTTTTTTGTTTTCCCCAGAAAAGGGGCAAATCGATACCTAACTGTAAGGAAGAAGGATGGATCAGAACTAAAACGTGCAGTAATGACTTGTGCCTTGACTCCTGTTACAAAACATGCTGTTTGTACTTTAATTCGGAATTTCCCTGTCACAAATAAAGAACGAACAGAACTTCTGCCGAAGACAGAGCGAGGGAATGCATGTGCTGTTGAATCTGGTATGTTCAGTATGTCTTCTGATATGGACTTGTCAATCAACACTACTTGTCAAAACAATGTACAATCCAACCACAAAACACACCCCTCTGTATTCTGTTTCCTCTCCTGCCCTACCTGACACCGTTCCCTCCAAACAAACCCGTTAATTTTCTTGACTTTTAATTATAGGGTCTTTTAAAACTGGTGTCTTGAGGAGCTCAGGCAGTCATGTCACTCACGTTGCAGTGTCTCCCTTGTGTCGAGTTAGTTTTGAATCTTTGAGCCAGTTCCAGCCAAATTTTTTAGAAGTACGTTTCTGAAATGTGGGTTCCTGCAAGTTCCATGAGGTGAGATTGAAATAGCAAGTGTTAGTGTGACTCTGTGTAAGAACATCCTTATGAGAAGATGAGACTGGTTTTTCTACCTTTTGAAATCTGTGTTCTTGATAAAATAAGAACTTTGTGTCTTGTTTTGTCATCTTCTAAGATAGATTTGGTCTCTAAGAGGGTATTACCTAAACTTCTTGATTTCTAGGGTATATAAGAGTTTGCTGGATATCATATATGTATATAACTTATAATATTGGAGTTTTTTAAACAATGCTTTTAATAACATTGTTTCTATAACACTGTAAGAGATATGGTGTATTTCTACACACAAGTGAGTGTGGTGAACAGAAAACATACCAGTATGGCTTGTTTCATCAGTTATTTCTGATTCATGATGTTCATGCTTTAAGTGCTTCCTTTGCTAGTTTTCCTTTTCAGTTGTTTAATTTGTTTAATAGAATTGTTTAATGAACAGAGTGAAACTATAATAAAAGTACTGAAAAGCAATTCCTTAGGAATGTAAGGCATAAATTAATGAATAGTGTAAAATTTATCTTTCTTTACTTCTCCAGAATGGTCCTTGGCTCTTTTAATCTGTTAGTCCATTTCTGTCTTGGTAAGAGAATGCTTGTAATTTAATAAATTAATCTGTTAATCACACTAAATATGTATAATTGAGTTTACAGTGAGCTTCTAATTCTTCTGGAAAATAATTATTACAGAATTATAGAATAGCATTTACAGTACTGAATTTGAAGTAGCCTCCTCAGTAGACTTGCAGGGGTTTTTTGGCTGTTTATGCCTTGCTTTCTAGTACATCACACTGCTGTGTGGGTCCAGGGCTCTAGATACAGCATGGTTCAACTGGTATGTGTTAACACAAATCTTATGGACTGGAGTATTAGGTTATGTAAGACTGACAGAAAGGAGGTCTTAAAAGACCAGTGAGGATGTGAAGGAAGGCATGTGATTCACAGTAAAGTTATCCTTTTGTTAGAAGACATGCTTGTCACTTTGGAATAATTTAAATGTTTAACTGTATGGTGGATATTTCATGGCAAGCTGTACAGATATGAATGTGTAAGCAGCTACAAAGGCCAAGGCAATGTGGTTTAGTTTCTATTTTTCTTTTAGCTCTTCATTTTTGACTTTCAGAAATGTATTGGAATAGTCCGGTTTTGTTCAAAATATGTATGAAAGTAAAAATTCCTTTGAAAAATATTTATTTTAAGTACCATTACAGGATGTGTTATTGCAAATATGATTTTTGAATATGTGATGGGTTTGTCACTTTATCTACAGGGATGCATACCTGTAGTTAGGAATGTTAATTTTCAAGTACAGTTTTTAAGCAGTGTTTTAATGATTTTCCTTTGTAATTTTTTGACTTCTCTTCACAGAAAGCAGAGAAGTGATTAAGACAAGTGGACGACTCAATGATGGTATACCCCAGGTTCCAGTGAAAAGAGGAGAATCTGACTTTGATTCCTTCAGGCAATCACTACCAGTTTTTGAAAAACAGGAAGAAATTGTCAAAATAATAAAGGACAATAAAGTTGTTTTGATTGTAGGAGAAACAGGATCAGGAAAAACTACTCAAGTATGTTTCTTTAATGAAATAAAAAAAGATAACAGTATTTATTAAAATGTAATGCTAGATTTTTAATGTTTCTGTAATAAGGGATTTCTTTACTCTAGTTTTAAGGCTTTTGTTTTCCTGTAAGGTTGAAAGTCTTGTGTTTCAGTTAACTTTCCTACTTTTTAAATACTAAGCCAACAGTTACATACTAACACCATAAATGGTTCTGCACAATTTTCTCATAGATATGAATTTTTTATTAAAATAATCACAGAATATCGAAGGGAAGGTAGCTATGATTTTGTACAACCTTTTTCCTTTCAAAGCTAGTTCCGTTCTAAGTATCTAGAGTAGAATATTATCACATTAAAATGAAAGATTACCTGCACAGCTTTTTTTATATATTTCTGAGAGACAGGAGAGAGAAGCTTCAGGGTGTTTTTGTGATTTTCAGTTTTGTTTGTTTGCTTGTGTTTTTTGTTTTGTTTTTTTAAAACAGATTAGACTTAACAGCAAAAATTTATTTTTTTGGCCTTTCTGCCACTTCAAGTACTTTTGCAGTGATAATCCTTTTGTGAGGCCTTTTGCAACCTATGTAATATTAAGATGCAGTTAAGTTGTCTCACCGTGGTAAAAAAACTATGACTTTATCAAACTAAAACGTAAATTTGAACCACTTCTTTACAGATCCCTCAGTTTATTCTTGATGACTGTTATAAAACTGGAACTCCCTGTCGTATATTTTGCACTCAGCCAAGACGTTTGGCAGCACTTGCTGTGGCTGAAAGAGTGGCAGCAGAAAGAAGAGAAAAGATTGGCCAGACCATTGGTTATCAGATCCGATTAGAAAGCAGGTAATAATGATATTTTTTAAAGTCAGTTGATCTTGTGTTGGTGTCTTTAGTCTTGTGTAGATTTAAACTACAGTGTATTCGGGATACAGCCTAGTAAAATCCCCATGGGTAAAGTATAGGTAGGATATATTATTTTGGGTAATGAATATTTAAGAGTGAAAAGGACAGTTTTCTTCTGATATTTTAGAGCTTCATGTAGTAAGTTGTTTTATAGAATGGAACTGCAAGTGATTTCTCCTGATGTCTTCTAGGGAGGATGTGTGTGAAAATCCTTGTCATATATTCAAATTAAGTCTACACTTGCCCCCTTTTGTTTTTTATTCCCTACTTTTGACATTTGTCAATCCAAAAGTTCTGCAAACTTTGAAGATAGGTAGGAAGACCAGCATGTTGTAACAAATGCTACATGGTGAGACTTGATAGGGCACGTTAAAGGGTCAACAGCAAAATTGGAAAGTGAATTATGAAGTTGAGCATTATTTACCAATTTATTTTGGGTTAAATTTACTCTGTTTCAGCTTTTTTATTTCAAACATTAAATGGTATGAAAGTAGAGATTTTTAGATGACATGAAGAATTTGATCCTAAAGCAGAGCAGAAATGGATGTAAATCTGAAGATTGTGTGTGGTTGACAAAGTTTTTGAATTGTGTATATAGTGAGATTTTCAGGAATGGACATTAGATGGCATATGAGTGAGAAGAAGATGGCAAAAAGTATAGCTGGTTGTGTTGCTTGTATGGATAAAGATACATAGCTAATGAATGCACTTAAACAGCAAAGCCAAGTTAAAGAAGAATTTGAATATCATACAAAAGCTCATAAGGCTATTAAGAGATTAAAAGAGCTAGTAAAGATGAATTGCAAATAAGGTGATGACTAATGTGTGGAAGAATTATGCTTGCTGAAGAAGAATAAAGTGTAGGTCAGATGGAAGAATTACTGGAACTGGTGCAGAAAACTCTGCTTAAGACGAATCAAGAAGTTCACTGGAGAAAAAGCAAAAGGGAGAGATGACAATGTTTCCACCTGCCAAAAAAGGTATTGGGTGGAAGTGTTTATAGTAACACAGAATTCTTGATTTGTAGAAGGCTAGTGAAGAAGAAAGGAGTAGAGATGGATAAAGTAAAGCATTTCTATCTTGTATGAGTTCCTTGAATTTAATATGTAAAAGGATTTTTGAAGTGAGGGATGAATTCCAAACTTGGGAAGAAATATACATATAATAACTAGTGAGCTTATATCTTCCTTCTTTTCTGGAAGTTTTCACTACTTAAGTGGCAGTACTGGAGAAAGTAGTGACAATTGCAGTTTTCACTTGCACAGCTAACTCTGCAAGAGGTAGTAGTACTTTTAAGATTTTTAAATTCCTGAAAAATGAAAGCATTTGAAAAAGTTCAGCTGACTTCTTTGTGACTCGGTCAGTTATAGTGTGTTGGGTTTGTGTGGCAAGGTTTTGGTAGTGAATGGGCTCTAGGGGTGGCTTCTGTGAGAAGAAGCTTCCCACATCTGATAGAGCTGGTGCCAGCTGGCTCTAAGAGGAGCCACTGGCTAAGGCTGAGTGGTTGTGCCTCTGGGATAACATATATAAGAAGGGGGGAAACAAATCTGCACAGCAGTAACAGCAGTGCAAAGAGAGGGTTGTGATTATTGTGAGACAGACAAGTCTGCAGATGCCAAGGTCAATGCAGAAGGAAGGGGAGCAGGTGCTTCAGGCACCAGAGGAGAAATTCCCTTGTAGCCTGTGGGGGACCCCATACCAGAGAAGGTGGTTGCCTGAAGGACCCTGTGACCCTGTGGGAGGGCTGTGCTGGAGCAGGCTCCTGACAGAACCTGTGGCCCCATGGAGAGGGCAGTCTGCATTGGGGCTTGTTTGCTGGCTGGACTTGTGAACCCGTCGGGGTCCCATGCAGGAGCAGTCTGTTCCTGAAGGACACCACCCCATGGGAGGGACGCCATGCTGGAGTAGTTTGTGAAGACTGTGAGGAATCCTCCCAGTGAGTCCTTGTCCCCCTGCACTGCTGAGGGGTAGGAGGTAGAGAAAGTAGGAATTTAAACCTGGGAAGAAAGGAGGGGTGAGGAAAGATGTTGTAAGACTTGGTTCTATTTCTTATTTTCCCACATGGATTTAATTGGTAGTAAACTAAGTTCCCCAAGTCAAGTCTGTTTTGCCTGTGATGATAATTGTGAGTGATCTCTCCCTGTCCTTATCTTGATCTATGAGCCTTTTGTTGTATACTCTGCCCTGTCCAGCTGAGGAGGAGAGTGATAGAGCAGCCTGGGTGGGCACCTGGAATCCAGCCAAGGTCAACCCACCACATGTAGGCAAATATCAAGACTATATCCAAGCATATGCTGAAGAATTGAAACCTGTTTTTCCAAAGCAGTCCACACTGAATTTTCCAGTAAATTAAACAGCATGTAGGGGTTCTCAAGGTTCTGTTTCACTTGCTTATTAATTTAGAGGAAGATTAAATCTCACCGTGTCAATTAATCCCTTGTCTGAAGTTTTGGAGCATGAGCACTAGGAGTCCTTAAGAACTCTTTGGGAACAGGCATAGTTTATAAACAACGAGTATGCATGAACTCTTTGGTGAGAGAACTGTGATTCCACTTCTGGTAAACAGCAGTTCAATCCTTTAATTTTCAATAAATAGTGGAAAGCTAGTAGCATTTAAGTGGTGCAAAAAACTGAAGTATCTTTATGAACTGTTCAATAGGGTTTCTCCAAAGACACTGGTGACATTTTGCACTAATGGCATCCTGCTTCGCACGCTCATGGCAGGAGACAGCACCCTATCTAATGTGACACATGTTATTGTGGTAAGGACTTTATTGTATTTCATGTGAGGGGGAGCAGTATGTATTACTTGTTAATTGCAAGGTGACATCCTAGTTTTCTACATTAATTTACTGAATATTTAAGTTGTTTTTGTTTGGTTAGCATCTCACTTAACTTTAAAGATTTACTGAGCTTTTATTGTTAAAATAAGATTTGTAGGATTTGTGGTTTCCAGTATTATCTTGGGAGTGAGATTCAAGCACAAGAATTAGAGAAGTTTCAGACATTCACTTTGATCTCTGAAATCAAGATCTATGTGGTTTTTACATTACACTGCAGTCTGCTCTGGTATCTTTATAAAACCTTTCGGAGTATTTTTTTACTTTTGGATAGTTTCTAAAAAAATCCTTACTTACGGATCCTTACTAGACTGCCACATTTTGATGTAATGTACCACCAAATTACATATTTTAATTTTCTAAAAAGTTTGTATTTGTGAAAAGTTGTAATCTTGTATCTGTGATGTTCATCTGTTATTTTTGTTTTTCTTTCTTTTTCGTTATAGGATGAAGTACATGAGAGGGATAGGTTCAGTGACTTCTTGTTAATAAAACTGAGAGATGTGTTGCAAACCCAGCCTAATTTAAAACTCATTATTTCTAGTGCAGCTCTAGATGCAAATCTCTTTATTAGGTATTTTGGATGTTGTCCAGTAATACACAGTAAGTATTTATGTGAACACTTATTCTCAGATAAGTGAGAATATCTACCCTGAAACTCATAGATCTTATCGAACTGTACCATACCATTCTGACAAAAGCCGTGTGATGAATACACTGAGAGTTACAGCAGTGCTTTTTCTTTGTTTACTCATGTTTGTTGTTTCGTAACTATTTGCACCTACTACAGAGGGAAGTGTTTTTATCACTGGAGGTTCTGTAAATTCGGGATTGTCCTGGCCCCCTCCATGTTCAGTTAAGAAGGGAGGAAAAGGTTCTCAAAGTGCTAATGTCCGTGGCAATATAGACCCTAGGATATGTAAGAGTATTGTCTATGTGTCTATTAATACATACCAGTAGATTTTAGTTCTTCAGGCCTCAACAGAGATTGCTACTGGTTACTGGATAAAAGACAGATAACTGTACCTGCTCTTTTCAGAAATACAGTCATAGGCAAATGAGGATTTTGTGTTTTAATCACACAATGCCTTGCTTTATTTAGAGTCTTCTCTAAAAATCACTGGATAATTTTAGTGGATATTCCTGAGAAAAAGTTAATTTTTCTTATTTACATAAAGAAGTGTTTAGTTCTCAGTTTGGAAATTCTACCTAGTAAAATGAAGCTTGCAGCTTGTTGGAGGCAGGAATCTGGAAATGACACAGATTTTAGTGTTTGGTAATTTTTTTTTCTGAGAGCAGAAACCTCATTGTAATTGGTGTGTGGCTTTCCAGTTTACTCTTATGGCAGCTTCCTATGCTTTTAGCTCAGTAGGTTTATTTTGGAAATTTTGACTGGTGTCTTCATTTTACTGCAGTGGTTATACTGTTATCAGATAGTGGACTTCACAGGCTAATCACAATTGAAAAGGCGCTTTTTTCATTTTTGATAATTTAGAAATTAAAACAATAGAGCTTAGATACTTTGTTAATGTAATGTAAAAGGTTTGATTCTCTTTCAACAGTATAGCTGGCAAAATCCTGACCACAGAATCCAACATGCTGTAGTTGTGGGTTCTGTAGTAGAGTTTGTGATTGATGTTAGAAGACTTCCTCCATAACAGCTTCTAAAAATATGTGAGTTGTAGCTTGTTCTTTCTGAAGGATAGAAAAGTCCTAGGTGATACAAACTCAGCTGTGGGAAATGTCTGCTAAGGGACCAGAAATTTAAAATGTAGAGATATTAATTTTTCCTGTATAAAACCAGAATTTTATGTCCATAAATAAGGTCAAGTAAGGTCTAGAAAACAGTGATGTTAAAAGAGAAATCAGAGTAAATTCTTAGGAGATAAAAACCATTGGAATGTCTCATTTGTTGGGAAGTATTTGTTAAAGAGACCCAAATTTGGCTGCTCTAATTAAGGACATTGAGAGGAGTCTGTCTCCTCATATACTTCTTATGAAAGAAGGTAGTTGAATACTAATACCCCTAAACAAAAATGTCTGTTTTCTTTTTCTCATTTGATAAAATTGCAGTAAATAACTGTCAGTCTTACATCTCTTACTGCAACACTTAGAAGAATTAATGAGAAACAAGCTATGCAACTGGCATTTCCCTTTTGAATTGTGGTTTGGTTTTTTTTTGTGGCCCAATCATTTAATGAAAATAGACTTAAATGAAGAGACTCTTACAAGACTTTTCAAGGAAAGTAATAATTCCTTAAATCAGGCCTTAATTATATTTAATTCACTTTTTTTTGTCTGTAAAAATGATTTTAAAAAATTAATATGATAATTAAAGCTAGGGAATATCTAATCTTTCATGAATTTTTTATACTTTCAGTCCAAGGAAGACCTTTTGAAGTTAAAGAAATGTTTTTGGAGGACATTTTACGAACTACTGGGTATACAAACAAAGAGATGATAAAGTACAAAAAAGAGAAGCAGCAAGGTTGGTGGACTTCTTATTCTAAAAGGCTGGTGATGAGTCTCATTGATTGATTGAAAATTAAAATTTTAGTCAGAATATTAAATGAGATGACAGCAAGTTAGATGACAGCAAGTATTGTGAAACTCTGTGTTTACAATGTTGATGTAGTTTGTGATTGTGGTTTTTTAAAGCTAAACCAGCAGGGGAAAATGAACTCAACTCAAAAGAGAGATTATAAGTCAGAATAACAATTTAATAAAATAAGTACGATTATACAGACAAACAATTGGTTTTAACCCACGAAACCCAAATGTATAACCCAGCACCCTGGGGCATGAACAGAGTGGTGCTCTTTGGGCCCCCTGAGTCCAAAGTAAAGGAAAAGGGGGAAAACCTGTTGGTGAGAGTGCTGTTGCAGTCCAGTCGAGAGTGGTGGTTGCAGTCTGGTTGAGAGCGGTGATCTGCAGTCTCCCTCTGGATCCCACGAGTGGTTAAAAAAGTCCCAAGACTCCAAGATTATATATTCTCCAGTTCAGGCAGGAATGCTCAGTACCTCCCTCAGGGCGGGGGGTTCCTTAATGGGTGTTAGGACAAAAACACCCTTCTATCTCACAGGCCTCTTAACACCTAGTTTGTAGCCTGATGAGTCAGGCTGCTCTGGGCAGAGGGTGCAAATAGTCTCTTGACAACAGTTTCTGGGAAATGGCATGGAAGGCTATAGAACACACAGTTTTGGGTTACACCCATCCAGTGATGAACTGGGGCCAGCTGTTCTAACTAGGACAGTAATTTAAAAAAAAAATTTCACTTTCTTTCAGTGATTGCACTTCTTATCACTTTCAGTTGATAAATGTTAATTTTTTTGGTAGTTATTATGGAGTAGAATTACATGTAACTGTGGCCTTTGCCCACTTGAAAACTATAGAACCACAAGATACTATATGCTCACTTTAGGGTGCAAATTAAAGTACAGCCAAATTAAAGTGCAGCCATTAGAGAAGGCAGGATTTTGTACATTTTGCATGGAAGTGGTTTCTGTTATTAATATTTTTCACTGCATTCTTCACACTTAGGTGTATTTAACTTATATAGCCCAGAAGCAGTAACACACTTGAACTAAAGAGAGGGGTTTTTTCAGTTGGTTAGGTAGATATATTATTTGAAAAGTTTTCCTGGCAGCTGAAAGTAATGATCCTACTGAGTATTTAAAATGGAAAAAAAAAAAAAAAAGATAAACCTCAAAGCTGTAACATACAATCCTAACTACACGTTTATCATGGAGTTCGGCTCTAATCACTGTGGATAGAAAAAGCTGAGTTAAGTCACTGGTGTCTTCTACTGTTTTCTTCTACTTGTACACAAAAATTAGTTGTAATATGCAGGAATTGTATCACTTCTCTTTGACATTTCACTCCTGAAGAAAGATCTGCACTGAGAACTGTGTTAGAAGATAGTTACTTAGGAAGCTTTTTTGAATGCAGCAAGCTGGAATACTGGAGGCTTAGGGCATTAAGCACCCAGGTGGTATTTTTTACCTTGCTGTATAGCAGATGTTTGCAATGGTGCACTTTAGGTGCTCTTAATCATGGAATTTGTATTGGACTGGTAACAGTGTTCTAGATTAAATAATAGATCAAATAGGTTAAACTTTGTGATTTGTTATGACTATTTTTTGTAACTGAAAATAATAGATTATTAAGATGACTGTAACACTTCCTGTGGAAATACTTTATGCATTCTAGAAGAGAAGCAGCAAAGCTCTCTTACTGAATGGTGTTCTGCTCAAGAAAATAATAGCACACTAGAACCTCAGAGACAAAAATCTGTCCCAAGGGCAACGGAAGAGTATAATCTGTTGGGTGATGGCGGTGATACAGTATTTAATCAACTGGTAAGCTTTTCCTTTTGTTGGGAGGTGTGTTTAAGTCTGCATTAAAAACTATTCTCTAAAGAGATTACTCCTGTAGAATTTCTGGAAGGATAGTAACGTATTTTAAAGATTTTTTTTTTTGTTTGTTTATCATAAAGTACTGAAGTGTGCTTTTCAATTACATTGATTGTACATAACTTTTCTTCAGATTAAATGGCTGAACTTCCATTGCTTAAAATACTTGCATGTGGTACAATAAATGCTTTAACCGGTACTGAATGCTGAGTTTCTGATTGTTATTTGGAAAACTAACTGTTCAGTTTTTTTGTGTGCAATGTATGAGAATAAAGACAACTCTTGGAAGACATTAATCTTTAAATACTGTATTTTCTCTTCAGACTGAAAAAGATGTGAATTGCCTTGAACCGTGGCTAATAAAAGAAATGGATTCTTGTCTTTCTGACATCTGGTTGCATAAAGATATTGATTCCTTTGCTCAAGTGTTCCACCTCATTTTAAATGAAAATCTCAGCGGTAAGTTTCTCATCTTATTACATAAGAAAAAACCAATAACAAAACGACTTGAATTTCTGTAGCTATTCCATCTCTAGTTTCAAATGTTGTTAGCTTTGAATTCTGATGCCTATTGAAAAAGTGAATAGAATTAGCAGAATTAATGAATTATTTCCTTACTTGTTGTACTTGTTTTGGAATATTAACAGATGTTAAGCCGTGTATCTGAAGTAGTGTTAAATTCATGTGAACTGAGTGATGAGATGAACGGAGGACAAAAAATCTCTCTGGCCTGGTTTTTAAAAGTCTTATAAGTCATACTCATACTACATTTAGATGAAAAAATAAGAATGTTTTTATTGTGTTTGCTGATTTATTTATTTATTTATTTTGTACTTCTCAGTTGATTATAGACACAGTGAAACCAGTGCGACTGCACTAATGATTGCTGCCGGGAGAGGCTTTTTGAATCAAGTAGAACAGCTGATCAGTATGGGAGCAAGTATCCACTGCAGATCATCTAATGGCTGGTAAAAACAAACAGACAAACCAAAATACGGATTTATTTGTCAATATACAAATCAATTTGTATATTGTCATTATATACAAATATATAGAGAGAAATTTCTATAATATTTAAACTAATTGCTAAGTTATCTGACTACTGTAAGCAGTAATAGGTTTTGACAGTCTAAAGAGTTTCTAACTTCTATTCATCACATTGTATTTTGTAAATTCTAGATTGAATTCCTAATTACAAAATCTTTATTTTAGGCTATGCATCTTTCTTTTGGAGTGAAAATTTAATTAAGATTTTTATATAAATCTTTCAGGATGGCTGTAGACTGGGCTAAGCGCTTTGGACAGACAGAGGTTGTTGACCTGTTGGAATCCTACAGGTAAACTATAAGTGCTTTGCAGAAAAAGTTGTGTAACGTGGTAAGGGAAATTTGTGTTTTACCTTTTAATCAGAACAGTTTTTAACTTTTTATGCCTTAAAATTTGACCTAAATAGCAAGATTTATTTGGGAATAGGAATGTTTCTAAAACTTGTTTGTTTTTTTTTTAAAAAAGTGTCATAGTGATTATGTTTGCACAACTCCTAGGATAAATATAGTTATAGAGATGTAGGACTGTCGCTGTTGGAACAGACCGCGACACAAAATATCCAGCAAGACAGTTTCTTGGAAAGAAAAGGAAGCAGCAGCAGCCTGGAGCTGCAGTTTACAGCTCTTTAAATACAGCTCTTTAGGCATACGTATATTACACAGGTAGGTCAATTCGAATACACAAACCATAATTCCGACAGCTAATAGGTGGACTTTCCTAGTTCTGCTTTCTCACAACATCTTTGCACATCTGTTCTTGTTTTCCTTTAATGTTTATATTTTTCTCAGCCACTCTCTTCAAAATAAGTCCTTGTTCTCACGGGACAGCTTTCTCCTGATGTTTTTCTCCTCTTCTCAGAGTGCATCAACATGTTGTCAGGACCAAGGCTTCCATTTTCAGTCAGCTTTTCGTTCTGTATCAGGGGTCTCGGTCCAGCCGAGATTCTCCACAATTCCTCCTGTCCGTTATTTGAAGCAATTGCTTCAGGGCACCATACATCTTCTCCACGATAGCCTGTCCTGTAGGGGAATGTGAAATAGTCGTAACATGAGTGACCTTCCACAAGGCAAAGAAAACTTGGAGAGATTTACAGACACAAGGCAGCTCATTGTTTGTCCGCACCTAAGTGGGCGCTCAAAAATGCAGCAAAAGCACGATGGAAGTATTCAATGACACCATGACCTTTTTGTTTAGTATGTGCATTAGTAACCACCACATGGGAAGACATGTCAATGGACACACGGACATGCTCCAGATTACCAATTTCATTGACATGAGTGTCATCCGATTGCCAAATCTGTAAAGCTGTAGGACCTTGAGGGTTGGTACTGAAATAGACAGGGGTACAGGCACTACGACAATCTGGATAAGAGGCAACAACCGAGCGAGCAATAGAATGAATCAAGCCAAATCAACGTCTGAAGCCTTCTGCATGCTGTGCTCTGTCCTCAGCTTCCACAGGGACCACAAGATCATCAGTTTGGAGGAGGCTTTTGGCCAAGCACAGCGTGTTTTTCCCGAAATTCTAAAAGAGGTGAAAAACTATGAAGCTGCGCTGGATCGAAGCATAGCAAACCTGCTGGAACAAGCCTCTGCAAAGGAGTTGTTTAGAGTACAAACAACGCTTGAAAAATAAGACCTGGAAATGGACAATACAACACCGCCTGATCAAGTCGCTGTAACAAATTAACAACATATACAGAATCAGTAATAACATTTAAAGGCTGATAAGGAAATAACTGAAAAGCAAGAGTTACAGCTCGATGTTCCACAATTTGAGGAGAACTTGCTTAATGAATAAGTTGATGCTGCCATCCAAATTCTGTTTCCACACTACCGCAGCTTTACCTGTCTTCCTCAAGTTGTCCGTAAAGACTGTAAGACCATCTAGGGGCTTTTTGTTTCTTAAGGAAAAAGATTCACATTTCATTCTGCAAGGTCATTAGTATGAGAAAAAGCATTTGGGAATTTACCTTTTTGCGACCTTTTAACACCAGTTATGGCTTAAGATACAGAATTACAAAGAAGTAATACAAGCCTTGAGACTCAAGTGTTGAACAGGTAACTAGGGTCATTTTTTTCCACAGAAAGATGTTTTAACTAAGACAAACAGAAGCAACAACTTTGTCATTATTGGTAGACAAATCCACTGGACATCATCAGTACAGACACTGCTTCAAGGATACCGATACCCATGCTGTTAAACTGCAAGTGTTAAAGAACGTTCCGTCTGCTCCAATTACTTGACCTTTTCCTCCATATCCCATACCTACAAACCATGGAGGTTTGGTCGTGGAACCTAGCTGAAGCAGCTTGTACTTCATATATGTTTTTCAGACATCACTCAAAGTAATGAGATTGTACAGGTACAGCAATGCGAGCTGGATTTGTACCAGTACACTCTGTGTGTACTCTCAGTACACACCTTTCTTTAGCCTTAATGATGATTTGAGCTATGAGCTCAAACAATCCAGAAGCAGTTTTTGAGCCCAACAAGGCAAAAATAGCCACTCCACAATGTGCCGTGGATTAGATTAATGGTCAGATCACTGTACTAATACTCTAAAAGGAACACTGTGATATGCAAAAATGAAAAATTAGACAATTTGACGATGATCAATTCGTGAAACAAATTTAGAATGTAAAGCTTACTCTACTTGCTGGATGGTTCAAACTGCTCTGTTAGTCAGTTCTCTCAGTCAGTTCCCTCGGTTCCTGAGAATTGAGCAGGTCAAATAGAGGTGCCAGCTGGGTGTTTGGCAATTTCAAGTATGATTTAATTTAATCTAAAGACCTTAATAGCTACTGTATGTCAGTAAGAGTTTTAACATTAATATCCAATTGAACTGGTTGAGGAATGACTGCTTTCTGTGTACTTGAACCCTAAATATTTCTGGGATTCCTGTCACTGCACCGTGTCAGGAGCAACTATTAGGCCAAAGAATTGTAGATGCTTTCTGGTTTCAGCGTCCAACACACACCCAGCTGATCCTTAGTGGCCACAGCCAGCAGAAATATCATCTATATAATGACAGTAAAAGACAGTGAGAAAATTGCATTAGTACAGGAGATAATGTTGGAATCATAAACCACTGACAAATTATAGAAGAGTTTTTCATTCCTTGGGAGAGGGTTTTCTATGGATAACGCTTGTAGGGTTCTGCACGACTAATAGATGGAACTGAAAATGCAAATATTTTCTCTATCACTGGGGTCCAACTGGATTGTGAAAAAACAACCTGTCAAATTAATAATAACAATGAGTTATTCTTAAGGAAGCAGTAAACCAAGCTGTAATGCTCACACGGTAACTATGATTGCATTAATTTTTCTGAGATCATGCAGCAGTCTTCATTTCACAGATTTTTTTTTCCTCACAAAGACAGGGGTAGTCAAAGGATTCTGAGATGGTTCAATGTGATTAGCATCAAGCTGCTCTTTAACAAGCTGTTGCAGAGCCAACAGCTGTTCTGTAGGTAGGAGCCTCTGCTTAACTCACACAGGATAATTGTAAGGTAATTTAAAGCAATGGTGAGTTGTGTCACACCTTGCAATATAGTGAGCTTAGTTAACAATCGTTACTCCCCGCTGAGATAGAGCATCTCGTTCTCACAGGGTTAAAAATGCCACAGTGACATATGGCCTGACAGCAGCAATTTGACCTTCAGGATCAGTAATGAGCACTGTATGGTCTAAAAAAACCAAAAACTCTGAGCAGTACCTCCTAGTCTCACAACCCCTGGCGTGACTACAGAAGTTTGTTCGCCTGGACAACTGACAGCAAGCTTTGAGTGTCGCAGAGAGTATGGGTCAGTTGTGGATGCTACGCAGAAATCAGCAGTGACCAAAAGACTTGTGGTGCATCAGTAGAACCAAATTCCTCATCCCGACACTCACGAAACTCTGCTTGAGGAACATAACTCACAGAAGGTATAAGTTGAGCTATTTGTGTCCCTTTTAGAAATTATCAGTGGTGGATGAGGTGTGAAAACTATAGCACAGATCTACCTTGTATAATTAGCATCAATGCCTGCAACATGAACAAAAGGTCCTGCAAGTGTATTATTAGAACAACCGAATAACAAGAGACTTAACTCATGTTGTCTTCGTATAATCCTAAACATCTACTAGTCAGATTATGTGAGCAATAAGGACTCTTTAAAACAACACTTCAGCTCTGGCCACACTGATCAACATGACTGGTCTGCTCTGGCCTCCAGCCAGGAGACCTGGAGACACACCATCCACAACGCTGCAGATGCCCTGGAGAAGGCACGCAGGATGGCCTTGATAGTCTGCAGGGCCCCCCTGCAACAGGCTAACCAGGCAAGGCAGCAACATCGACAACCCCTGATTCAAACCTCGGAAAACACGGAAAAGCTCAAATGACTCTCACTACTGCCATAGCAGATGCAAATGCAGTTATTTGATGGTCTAAGGGTCCCACCTTGGCACAAGCTTGTATTATTGCATCAAGGGTAGGTTCTCCCGGCAGTACCTCTATTACTTTTTGACAGCCTGTATTGGCATTGTCTTTGGCTAGTTGTGTAACCAGTAGCTTCTGTAATTGAGTGTCAAAAACCTGTTTCTCTACAGCTTCTTGCAGCTTTTTTACGAATTGCAAGAATGGTTCCCGGGTACCTTGACGTATGGTTGTGTACCTCGCTTTGGGCTCTGCCAACTCTGCAGCCCGCAGTGATGCTTGCTGGCCTATGGTTTCTACTTGCTCCAAAACTCATGGCCTCCTGCACAGCCCACCCATGGGCAGCATGACACATGAAAAAGGAACAACACCAGTGAGTGGAAAGGCTCCACCTAAGATTCAACCTCCACAAATTTCATACAAGACTGAAAAATACCAATTTTTTGTAAGAATCTCTTATTTAACCTCAGTCTTAACATCTTCTTAAAATCTCGACACCGACGGAAAGTATTTTTAAGTCTACACATTCACGTAGCTTTTCTCTTTCACACAGTCTTTTTCCAGTCACACTGTAGGTGGCCACCTCAGACACTCGTCACTCACACACACATTTCAAGTAGTCATTGGCTGTGCACTTCTTATCAGTTTCATAATTCAAAGGGAATTTATGGCATAGCTGCCAACAGCAATCTGCAAATCCTGCATAACTCTTCATGCAAAAGACAAATATAACAAGAAAAGACGAGATATTATCTTGGAAATCTTCAACCTTTCTTATAGAGCAATGATACTCTGTCATAGGGCAATAGAACTACTTCTGCAGGGGGCAGGACTACCCCCTTTGTCTCATTATCCGGTCTGCAAATTTTCTACCTGCACCTTGGCCTCGGTGACAACCTTCTGCAATATGCAAAAAGCTAAGCACGTATGTTGCCTTGTTCTTAATCTTGCTTCAGGGGATTTTTTCGTCAGTCTCTCTTTCTCTTTTTGAAGAAAACGTTTGAGAGTGCCATGATCATGCTCAACAATATTTTAGTTTGTGGGAGAATGAGGGATGCCCGTAACATGCATAACACCTATTACTGTAAAAACAGTGCAATCTTATTTGATTTATAAGTTGGGGCATTGTCAGTTTTAAGTTGTCTTTCCCTTTTTCCCCTTTTTCTATCTTTTGCCCCCCCCACCGTGTCACCCCTTTCTCTTGAACACTCGTTCCCCCCCCCCCACTGCCAGAGGACGAAGGAGGGGGAGGAGAGGCCTGGTTCACCTGGAGAAAATCAACAGAAGGAGCTAGCAACCTAGTCATGTAGTCTGCTAAGAAAAGACAAAACATAGGAGGGGGAGAAACAGCTGCAAATACACACGTTTCAGAGGGGGGGAGGGGGTTGGTGTAACCAGGAGAAAAGACAGATGGCCCCCCCTCCCCTGACTGCACCCTCCGAAGCCGTTGCTACCGCCATCAACCCGCCGCTCCAGGGAGAGGAGGGTTAGCAGGGGAAACACTCTCTGTGAGGATAGAATCAGCGAAGAAGGGGGACGGCCACCCCGTCACACCGCTTGAGACCACGGCTGTCAGCAGTGTGGGGATAAAATGCCTCCCACCCTCTGCTGCCTGGGGAGCTGCCGGCGCACACGTGTGGGCACACCGCTCCGATCGGGGCCGCCACAGCCACAACGATCTCGGCAGTGCGCCGGCTGGGGCCGGGCACGGCACCGGATCACGCATGGAGCCGCTGCCGCCGCTGCCCGCTGCACTGGCACCCAGAGCCATGGGCGCTGCCATCGCTGCCTGCCGGGACCCAGCCCGGCGCCATTCTGCAGGCACTTGGAGCGGGCAGACCCAACATGGCTGCGCAGCTCCGCGGCACCGCTCAGACGAGAAGCAGGAAGCTTCTTAAGGTGGAAACCAGTCACAGCGTTCGTAAGGTCGTCTCCTGGTCCATCAGCAGCACTTCCACGCCATAGCCGCTGTCCCCGATCGTCTTGGACATGTACTGCTGAGTTGCTAGTACTGCGTTCATCTTGGCGGGGCTGCTCGGCTGCCCCCGACCCCGCTCCATGACCCCTGGTCCCGCTTCTCGGCTCCGCCCGACTCCTCTTTGGAATGATTTCTCTGTATGATGGCATCTAATAGCATTCTTATGTCCTTCCAGACAAAACCATCAGCCGCAGCGGCCAAAACAGAACTTTCCAGATGATAAACACATGCCTTTCGTTTGCACTTATGGTCTGCCCCCATAGTGACTAGAAGAAAGTTCTCAAGAGCTTCACCTGCCTTCCAAGCACCAGCTGCACTTGCATTGAGGAGGCGCAGGAGGGCAGGGTGGGGAGCGTGCAGGGATGTGGGCAAAAGGCACTTCACTCACAGCCTTCCAGTCTGCTTTAATATCTTTTACTGTTTCATATAACAATCGCCAAATTGTTTTTCACTAATTTTTTTTCAAGTAGAGACAGTAAAAGCAGTAACAGTGTCCGCTTCATATCCCTGGCTCTTGCACCAAAGCAACATCTTTCGCAAAGCCAGTTCTTTTAACTTCTTCTCCTTTGATAGACTTCCACATAGATACAACACTAGATTCCTCTTTTGCTAAGGGTTGTCCCCTTGTTCCTTGGTGGCTCACCTGTCCAGGTGTCTGCGTCTAAGGCCAGACTAGGCAACTTCTCCGTTGCTCTCATGCTTCACCGAGCTCCGTTCCCACGGCAACTTCCGCGCCACCCGTATGGCTTTCTCTGCCGTACAGTATCCACGTAGATGCAGTACCACGTCGGGGTCACCACATGTCGCTGTTGGAACGGACCGCGACACGAAATATCCAGCAAGACAGTTTCTTGGAAAGAAAAGGAAGCAACAGCAACCTGGAGCTGCATTTTACAGCTCTTTAAATACAGCTCTTTAGGCATACGTATATTACACAGATAGGTCAATTCTTACAGCTAATAGGTGGACTTTCCTAGTTCTGCTTTCTCACAACATCTTTGCACATCTGTTCTTGTTTTCCTTTAATGTTTATATTTTTCTCAGCCACTCTGTTCAAAATAAGTCCTTGTTCTCATGGGACAGTGTCCTTGTTCTCACGGGACAGCTTTCTCCTGATGTTTTTCTCCTCAGAGTGCATCAACATGTTGTCAGGACCAAGACCTCCATTCTCAGTCAGCTTTTCGCTCTGTATCAGGGGTCTCGGTCCAGCCAAGATTCCCCACATAGGACTTCTTTTATATTATTAGCTTTTATCATTTTGATGAGGACGTTCCTATCACGATTATATATCTAGGCAGGATGTGATTGTAATAAATAAATAGCCAGAGATCCTGATTCTTCCATGTACCATTTTAATTTCAGATGCTTATTTTGAAAACAAATCTGTTGTATATTTTTATCTATACATTGTTGGTACAAATAGCCATGTTAAAGAAACTTTATAGGAATAACATGTACACTAGGCCATTCAAGAGTTGTTTTTTGATAAACTTACAGTTATCATAGTTTTTTTACCATTTTGTAGAGACCTCTTATTAGAACTCCTCTTAGTGTAGTTTCTGTCAAGGTAGTACCTGCTTATGGGGAGAAAATGTTTGGAAAATATGCTTCTTTTAAGTATTTTTAACAGATCAATAAGTGGTGTCTTTCTACCTTGAGTTCTGACATCTTTGCTTGTGGTTTTGTTTCAATGAAGCGTAAAAAAATGACGGTAAATGCTAAAAATCAAGTTGCATGCTTGCTGGGTTAACACATCAGTGAACAGTAATATTATTTTGGAGGAGCTGTTCTGCTACATTTCAAAATTTAACTTCAAAAGAAGTAGTCTTGCTGGTCTTGATCTAATTTTGATTTTGTGGTTGAATGCAAACCTAAAGCAAACAGCCTCGACTCTGGTCTGTGTATCTGTTTTAGTGCTTCAGCAGGATTTGGAAATTTGGATGAAAGTTCCCTGGTCCAAACAAGTGGTAGTGACCTTAGTGCAGAGGACAGAGAGCTATTGACAGCTTATCATCACAGTTCTGATGATGAAAAAGTGGATCTGGACCTGATTATGCACTTACTTTATAACATCTGTCATAGTTGTGAGGCTGGTAAGTATTACACACACAGTCCCAGTAAGTTACTGTGGATTCAGCTTTTGATAAATCCTACCTTTTTTTCAGAAATACCAAATAGGTAAAACCTTCCAAGTGCTAGTACTGGCATATACTGAAAGTGAACTTTCTGTTTAACTCTGTAAACCTACTTCTTTTTTAGGAGCAATTTTAATATTTCTTCCTGGATACGATGAGATAGTGAGCCTGAGGGACCGTATTCTTTATGATGACAGGAGATTTGCTGATAACGCTCACAGGTAAAGCCCCTAGTCTCTGTGATTGAGGTTTATATTTCTTCTTTAAAGATATTTAAAATGTCCTCTTTGTCTTGGATTAGGTACCAGGTTTTCATGCTTCATTCAAATATGCAGACTTTGGATCAGAAGAAAGTGCTTAAAAGTCCACCTTCTGGTGTCCGCAAAATAGTAAGTGTCAGAGGACTTCCTCAGGTATTATATTGATCTATTTTGTGTTTGCTTTTAACTATAGTTTTGGTTGTTTCTTGTTATAATTGCAGATTCTTTCTACAAACATTGCAGAAACCAGCATAACAGTCAATGATGTTGTATTTGTTATTGACTCAGGGAAGGTGAAAGAGGTATGATCGGCCTAAAATTTCTTTGGGAAGTAAACTTTGGAGAACTGTTTTTTTTATAGTAGGCTTCGAGCTAGTGCATGTCAAGCAACAAAGGTAACTGAGAAGTTTTGATGTTTATTTGTTTTATGACAAATACTGTAAATAGTAACTGTTTAAAAAGCCCTGTAAAAATTATTGTAAGTTGTTATGGTGATATATCTTTTTTTTAAACAGTATTTCTGTTTGATTTTTTTTTAAAAAACAAGTCCATCAGTTGAGACTGGCATCTTCCTGAGACTTACAGAACACCAGAAGTTCCCTTTGTCCAAATCTAATCCATTAAGCTTTTAAGCATTGTTTGATGTATTGAATGCCCATTCCTAAATCACTTGTAAGGAAAAGTGAGATATCATAATGAGGTAGTTTAAGACCTCCTGTATTGCTTTTAAAATTACATTTCATAGGGGATATGAAAATTTCTGAAGTTCTCGCAGTAACACAATTTTTCTGTAATTTTGCATCTAATGTAAGAAAATAAGGATGTAATTTCCAAGTGGGACAAAGAGAAAAACATTAATCACTGTAATAACATATTTTTTCTTGGTTTCTGATAACTTAAAATGCAATCCATGTCTTTTATTGACTTACAATTACCTATTGACTAGAAAACTTCCATTTAGAAAACTCTGTAGCACAAAGATACTGTGAAGGAGGTAAAAAAAAATTTTGAAACTAAATATTCAGAACATACCTTTGTGCCAGAAACTGCTGATGTTTTAATAGTTATTTTTTAATTTTTTTAAAGAACTTCTGTTGATAAATCATTACTAACTTTTATTTCAAGTACTCATTAAATCTTGGTTTTATGTTCCCTGCTTTGCTTTTATAGAAGTCTTTTGATGCACTAAGTTGTGTTACAATGCTAAAGATGGTGTGGATTTCAAAAGCCAGTGCTATCCAGAGAAAAGGCAGGTAATAAATGCTTTATACTGACTTTTATTTTGCATATATCTGATGTCCTGGCTGGTAAGAATAAAGTACAAACATAATAGCAGCCACACTGGGTAATGTTTCTAACCTAGTCCAGTACGATGTTGGACAATGGCCAATGCTCATGCTCTGCATTTCCTAAGTTGTAGAAGAGTGACACTCGAGAATATCCCAGAACTTGTATTGGATCTAGGTTGTTGTTCCCCCATGAACTTATTCTTCTTCCTCTTTCTCCCATGTAGCAGCAGCAGCCACAGTGTCCAATAAGGTGTTTCACAGCTTATCTGTGGGCAAAGGACTGCCTACTGCTAGTTTTTAGTTGATGTCCTGGCATCTTTGTTAGAAGAAACATTGAGCAGTAATTCCTTATTCACTGTCTCCAAACTATTCATGACTTTGGAGGCCTCGAACATGTTCTTTCCAACACTGTGGGTGAAGGCTGAGAAGTTACATATGTAGCAACAGATACCCATATTTTGTGATGTGATATTGGCATTAACCTACAGGGATTTGAGTGTGAATGTGAGCATTTGCTGTCTCTGTCCCTTCACTCACAAGCTATTTGGTCTTCATTTTATCTTTTGCTCCTAGAGTACCATCTAAATATTAGGGGGCTGTGAAGAGGAAGAAATGAAGTTTACAACTTACTTTCCTTATGGCAAAGGATGGATGAGATTTAGATTGATCTTGAATTGGCAAAACATCCCCATCCCTTTATTTAGATAGCCCTTTTGTTTTTCCAGATTTTTCAGTGTAGGGTTAAAAGTCTAATAATAAATTTCCATACTACCAAAAATAATTAATGTGCTGGAAAACTGTTAACTTTTTGTGTGGGACTTGCTCTTAACCACAAAATTATCTTTCTGTCAGACATTCTTCTACATTTGCATCCTAAGTTTGTGTGGGTTGGTTTTTTTTGGTCGATTGGGTTTTTTTTTTTAGAAAAGAAATTCTGATTTCACACCCTCCCGTATTTTATTTTCCAGGGCTGGTCGCTGTCAACCTGGAGTCTGTTTTCGTCTCTTCAGCAGGCTCCGATTTCAGAATATGTTGGAATTTCAGACTCCAGAACTTCTAAGAATGCCACTTCAGGTGCATGTTCAGTTAAAAATTGTGACTTTTAAAAAACGTATTATCATCAAACCATGCTATTAATTGCAAAAAAGCATGTATTTGTTTTGGTTTTCCCAAACTTTAACAATATTTTTCTGCTTTTTAACTTACAGGAGCTTTGTTTGCACACAAAACTTCTGGCTCCAATTAATTGTTCAGTTGTTGACTTTCTTATGAAAGCTCCTGATCCTCCACCAGCTTTAATTGTGAGAAATGCTCTGCAAATGCTCAAGGTCAGTAGAGGAATAGATTTAAGTGGGAATTGTGTATGATCTGTATTTGTGGTGTAACATATCTTACTATCATTTGTGGTAATGTATCTTACTGACTTTTATTTATACAGAGACTATTGTTCAGTTACTTGAAGATGCTTTGAATTTCTGTTTGTTGTCTGTTTTCATTTTACGTGTGTGGATGTATTTTTCCATGTTAAGGGAAGAGTGTGCTTTAAGATCTGGTCTTGAACTATTAGTTATTAGTTTGACTTGCCTTTTTAGTGTTTGGGAGCAAGTCTGGGTAATGTCCAATATTCGTATCCTTTCTGCTTTTGTTCACTTTGCCCTTTTCCCCTCGCCCTCATTTTTTATTTTTTTTTAATCAGGCTATAGATGCCATGGACCCTTGGGAAGATCTCACTGAACTTGGTTATCATCTCACTGAACTGCCGGTAGAGCCACACCTTGGTAAAATGGTGTTGTGTGCCGTAGCTTTGAAGTGCCTGGATCCTGTTCTTACCATTGCCTGTGCTCTTGCCTACCGAGACCCCTTTGTCCTTCCTGCACTGGCCTCTCAGAAGCGTGCAGCCATGCTCTGCAGGAAACGTTTTACTGCAGGAACATTTAGTGACCATATGGTGCTTCTCAGGGCTTTCCAGGTATTGCCTCATTTCAGTAATCACACATCGAAGTAAATGATGTACCAATCAAGTTGGATATAGAATGGTAGACTATGATTAAGTCCTTAGACAAGAAATTTTTTATTTTTGCCTAGTGGCTTTACTGTATATTGGACTCATAATTTAGTGACAGAACACTTTTTGTCTCGTCTTTTGGTGATATTTGCTAACTGGGTTAAATTCTGAATGTTACAGCAGGGTGCCCCTTTATATCCTGCTACACGGATAACTTAAAATAATGATCTTAACATAATAACCTTTATAATAATATAATAATAACATATTGGTCATTAGGTTAGGGAATGGGTAAAGAGAATATAGTATTTAACCAGAAAAAAAAAAATCTGGTTTGCTACATTTTCTTTCTTTCAAAGTGGTTTGTACCCTCATTTTATTGATGTAAATGTATTCTTTTTTTTTTAAATGCATTTTTTTAATTTTACATAATCAAATTAATAGGCAAATGTTCAAAAATTATCTTTTACAGGCGTGGCAGAAAGCACGCAGTGATGGCTGGGAGAGAGCCTTCTGTGAAAAGAACTTCCTGTCTCAAGCCACAATGGAAATCATTGTAGGAATGAGAACGCAGTTGCTTGGCCAGCTTAGGGCCTCAGGTAATAGCTTGGAAAAAGTTGTAATGTAGTTTTAGAGTCAAGTTTATACAAATTGTAACAAAAATAGTGTTCACTTGTGTGATTTTTCCTTCCTTAATTTGAAACAGTATGCATCCATGCTGGGCATGGTGGAGGTGCTAGAGTGAGAAAGTGTGGCTGGGGAACAGCTGATCTAGCTGAAAGCACCCTGGTTGTTCAGCATGCCACTGGCTTTCAGTGTGAGATATGTTTCCTTGGATTTTTCTGTTCTAGTAAATTGTTTCCATAGGAATTTGTTAAAAAACAGTTCAGACCCCAGGTTCTGAGGCAGAGTCAGTTAATTTCAGCTCTAGCTGGATGACCCCAGAGAGGGACCCTGAACAAAGAAATCACTGGGCCTTTATACCCTTACAGTCTGTGCATATAATCTTCACGTGCCCTGCATGTGCCTCACACACTCCTCTTGGTCCAATTTATGGTCTGGGATCTTCTAACACCTCATTGGTTTCTTTCTCCATGTCCACATCATCAGGCCATTAACTGCTCTTATCTTCCAGCCTGGGCCAACCTTGGGCCCCTCTAGGGTCTCAACCCTTATCTGAAAGTATCTCTTCTTTCCTCCCCTGCTTAGTTGTTCATGCCAACAGAGTTCATTTAAAGTTCACCTACACCAGATTTTGAGCAGGGCCCCCTCATGCTAAGCTATCAGGAAGTTACAATTAGACTTAAACCTGCACAATTAAGTTCTGATATGCTACGAGTAAACTAACTTTAAACCACAATAGGAATGTCTTGGTGTTAGTATTATAAGCAGTAATTATATTGTATGCAAGTATAAAAACTCTTCCCAGGGAGGATTTCAGTGTAATGGTTTCTTCTTGGTTAAGGTTAGTAGTCATGAAAAATACAACTAATTTGTAGTTTATTTCACTTTTTTTTTCCAATTCCTTTTGAGAAGCAAAGAAATAGATCTTAAGTACAAGCAAGTATAACACAATTTTTATGTCTTCTTTCTTCAGGTTTTGTTAGAACCAGAGGAGGAGCTGATATCAGAGATGTTAATACTAACTCTGAAAACTGGGCTGTAGTTAAAGCTGCCCTAGTGGCTGGGATGTATCCCAATCTTGTGCATGTAGACAGAGAAAGCCTGGTTTTGACTGGACCAAAGGAGAAGAAAGTGCGATTGCATCCTACCTCTGTGCTTAGTCAAACTCAGTATAAAAAGGTAAAATCACTTAACTTTTTAGAAAATACTGTTTTCTGGCAGCCTATAGAATGAAGAAGTGGAGTTGGTTGATTTTTCCAATATTTCAGTTAGTTCTTCCAAATGGAACACAACAAAATGTTAAAAAGAAAAAGCAAGTTATAAAAGTGTTTTCAAGATGTAACAGTGTGTGCTCATAACAGCAGGAAAAAGTTCTACTCTGAAAACCTTTTCTTTTTTTTTTGAGATGCTTTTTTATAGCAAAATATTTTGTTTCAAAGTGTTTAAGATAGTTCGGTAGTCTGGTTGAATTTCCTTGTGCTTTTTTTATTTGTGTGTGTATATAAATATGCATTTATTCTACATATATAAAATAAGCATTACGTTAAAATTTATTAATTAAACAGAGGATGAAATAGCCTAGCCTTATTTGCTCTTGCACAGATTCCCCCAGCAAATGGCCAAACTGCAGCTGTTCAGGCACTCCCAACAGACTGGCTTATATATGACGAAATGACGAGAGCTCACAGGATAGCGAACATCAGGTGCTGTTCTGTGGTAACACCTGTCACTGTGGCACTCTTCTGTGGACCAGCTAGATTACCAAGTAATGCTTTGCAGACATCTTCATCCTTTCGAGGTATACCGGAACCTGGATTTGGAGTATGGGATATACTAGTAGGTGGTGTGGAAGGCTTATTTTTCATGTATATTTTCCTCATATATTGGCTAATTCTTAAAACAACAGAGCTATGGTTCCTGTAGCTCTTCAAGAATAGTTTGTAGTCTCTGTAATAAATGTCTCTGCTTTATGAATCCTTGTACATTCATATCTATAAATTACACTTAGTTCTATAGTCTCAGAAGTTACAGTATAGTTTGTAAAGAAATAAAAAATGCAAACAAAATGTCTAATGACAGTACTAATGCTGAGAAGTGTAGTATGTATGTCTTTTTTTCTTCAGCCTAGTTTATTTGATTTTTTGAACCAAATTATTCAAACAATAATTTAGCTACAGTCAATATGGCAAATAGTCATATTGCTTCCAGCTGACACATGCATTTTAAAGAATATTTTCTACTGATAACTTTTAATGACAGTTAGCCATACTATTAACTAGAAGCAATAAAGAATGTATCAAAATTTTCTTTTTTCATGTTTAAGTGGAATGCTGTAGGAGTAGAAGCTGTCAGTTCTGTCAGAAGCTGTCAGTATCCTGCTGTCAGTTCTATAGAAATACTAGTTTGAATCAAAGTAAGAGTCCAAGATATTTTTGAAGCTTTCTTGTCTTGCTCTTAAACTGTTACTCTTAAAATAGTGTTAATGATGATTGAATTGCACTTTGGAAAAAAAAAAAAGGAATCCAAAATAGCCATGTGCATATGTAATTTTTTTTCCCTAATGGGTCTTTAAATATGCTGTTTTACTAGGAAATAAAGCATAGAGCAGTGTGTTGGTTTTATGAACAACTTCAGGCAAAAGTTTGATAGTGGCTTGTTGATATTGATGAAGGTACATGAGTGAGTCCTGTCACATCAATACAGGTGTTTACTGACTTGGGCCCTCGGCAGGTCTGGCTGCTTCTGTTCTGCTGACTGAAGCAAAGACTTCCACTGAGGTGTATTTGCAGAATTTAAAAAGTGTGTTTACAAATATTTACATTTAAAAATAAAATTTAGGAAGAAAATTGTTGCTGCTAATACGGTAGTGTTCAAATTTCTGTATGTAAATGTAAATAATATAGAGGTGTTAATGCATCTTTTGTATTTAATTCAGGGGGTGGGGTATCTAATGAAAGCAGTGACAGTGAGATGGAGGACAAAACAACTGCTAATTTATCACTACTGAAGCTAGATGAATGGCTCCATCTCAGACTGGACCCTGAAGTAAGTAATGTGTCATTTCCATGTTGGTTACACATAGAAGGATATTTATGTTAAATCATCCTAAAAAGATTTGTGAAACATCTGAGTAAAAAAGAATTTTCTGTAAGAATGGTCCCTTTGAGTCTCTTGAATTTACATGACAATGTACTCTGTGAGTTAGCCTTTATTTCATAAGTTGGTTAAGAAATAGATCAACAGAGGCTCAACCCCCTTTTGCCCAGACTAGTCTATTCTGTGAATTCATGTATTCAACATCCAAGTTGTAAGGTTTCCTAACTTACAACCCATAACTCTCAATTCTTGCACCTATGAGCAAAAAAGAATAAAAATTATTAGTTACCTAGCCAGCAATGAGAGTGCTCATCCTTCTTCCTCTGTCATGATGTGGGTGTCCCCTGTATCACACTGGGAAGCAGGAAAGACTCAGCAGTCCAGCTGCTGTTAGATCTGCTTCAAAAGTGCTTTGGGTAAGCTGATGTGTTATACTTTCCAGCTTGGCAGTTTGGTCCATTTCCATAAGTTAGCAGATTCTAAAGAAGATGCCAGACAAAAGATAATGGCTACAGGGATGAGCAAGCTGCAGGTGGTAGTGGCTGTATAATGGCCCTTTCTGCTCTGTATTGCCTGTGTGGTGCTCCCAGCACACATCAGACCTTAGTATAAGCTGGGTTAGCCAAAATCTGAGCGGGAGTTGGAAGAACAGTCCCAATAGCATATTGTATATTTCCTTCTCAGAGGATGACTAAAGTTGGATCAAAACGGAGCACCTGAAACTGGAATTGCTGAAAGAAAATTGTTGTGAGATTGTAGAAAAAGAATCAAAAAACCTCAGCCTTTGAAGATAGAAGTTTTCAGGTCACTGAGAAGTGCCTGTGGTAGGAGGTAGAGTAACTCAGAGCTCTTTTCCATAAGGTATGACTGAAGAGTGCAGGAATACAGACTGACTGATAGAAAAGGCATAAGACATGAAAATATTGGGGTTTTTTTAAAAAAAAAAGATTAATTTTTAAAGTGAAAAATAAAAAATGCAGTGTGTTTACAACACAATTTTAAATTATGTGCAGAGCTATGTGAAATGTTTTAAAAATTATCGTACACCTGGCGAAAGAAAAGGTAACAGCTTAGTTTAAATGTGGGGGTTTTTCCCCCTCTCTGGGACCTTAGTCTTGCTTCTCAGTCTGACAGAATGCCAGCTGCTGCCTGATAGGAAACACTTAGGGTACCCTTTTCCTATTTCATCTAATTTTAGTTAGTCTTTAACAGAATTTAAATTCCTTACAGGCTGCTGATTTGCTGTTGCAACTTAGACAGAAGTGGCATAGCTTATTTCTGCGTCATATGAGAGCTCCTTCAAAGTCGTGGTCTCAGGCTGATGAAGCAACTGTAAGAACAATTGTAGCTGTTTTAACTGCTGAAGAACAGTCTGCAGGTTTGCAGCAACCGTCAGGAATTGGTCAGAGACCAAGACCTGTGGCTTCTGAAGAACTTCCTTTAGCATCTACACGGAGGTCAGGCAACAGCAGAAAAAGCGCAGCAGAAACTGAATTCTCTGACTCCTCTAGTGCTGAAAAGTAAGCTGTTGAGATGATCTAGAGACTGTAATTTATTTGCCTCTAAAAGCATGGCTTGAATTTCTGCTAGTATTGAGAAGGAAGAAACAGTATAAATACAGCTGAAAGCTTTGATACTGTCTTATGCTGTGTTGTAGTTGTGATTTCATGGAGAAGTATTTCATATGTATGCCTGCTGGTTAAGAGAGCAGTCAGGAATATTGACCATGAGTTGTGCTCTTTGAGAAATAGCAGGAGAGGTTTAACTGTAACATTCAAAAATCAATGCATGATAATTATATTTTTTTAGTTAGTGTTTAATATGTCTTTTAATTACTGTAATATATATAGTCATGCAATAGGCTGATATATAGATAAAAATTATTCTGTGGCTGCTTGTAAAAGTTGTGGTATGTTCTGTATCTACCTTTGCTTTTTAGAGTTTTAATGAAATCTGCACCTCCTGCACTTCACCAGGCAAAGAAGTACAAACGAAAAAATATTTTACACTCCAAACAAACTTCAGATGACAGGTCAGATCGATCATCAGTGAAGTCTGCAGACAGCAGTAGCTATCCTAGCCCTTGTGCTAGTCCTTGTTCTCCAATATCTGGAAAGGTAAAGTTCTCATAACCATATTACCCTGCTCTTCAAAATGAATAGAACTTCTTGCTCGTATCTTTCAGCACCTATCAAGTATTGTATCGGTAAATTAAGAACCAAACTTAGATTTTCATTGTTAACAAGTGCATAATATTTCTTCCTGGAACTTAAAATCAAGTCTAAATATCCTTGTTGCGCTAGTTTAATACAGTAAAAATATTATTCTCTGCAGACTTTTGAGGTAAAGCTATCCAAAGTTGAAAAAAATCAGATTTTTTTTTTTAAACTTGGTATACTAAACAGTGAAGGTGTGTACGGCACATGCACTTCTGAACCCTTTGGTTTCTGCCTTCCTCTGTTTCTGTAATAGCATACATTGGTACTGATTCTGTAAGTTTTGTGTTATCTGCCTTATTACAGCTGCTTGGGCATTTGGGGGTTTTTTATGATTATTTTAACAAAGCACACATTTTTAATTAGGTTATTGTCATAGTTCTCTCTATATACTTGAATAGTAAACTGCAGTAATACTAAACAGATCACTGAGGGGACAACCCATTGCTCTTTTCATCATGGACTCATTGGAAAATTTAGTAATACCTCTTAAGTCTTTCAGTTTTTAGATTCAGCCAGTGTTAAAGAGAGAAAACTTCATGTTTCCTAAAGATGGAATACGAGTAGAGTGCTGCAGGCTACAGTACAGTATGATTAATTTTGTGTGGAACTTCAGGTCCATCAGACCTTCAAAGAATTGTAATTACTAAACTATTCAGGCCTATTCTACTGTACTTGCTTCCTGCCCCTCATGAATGAATTACTATGTTGAAAAGTGCTTAGAAATGTAAAATAGATGTGAAAATCAATTCAGACAGGAACAGCTGATAGATTCTGTGTTTCTTGTATAATCTGGAAGAGGAGAGGAGGAGCGCAGTGAAGGGATTTCTGTCTTTGTGTGTGTAAAACTTTAAAACTAAAGCGTGGTTTATTTTATTGTGTTTATTAATTTAATTTTTCTAGTGTTCCAAATCTCCTTCACCAAGACAAAATGTCCCAGTTCGGTACTTTATAATGAAAAGTAGCAACTTGCAGAACATTGATATTTCTCAGCAGAAGGGTATATGGTCCACTACACCAAGTAATGAGCGAAAACTGAATGGAGCCTTTTGGGAGAGCAGCGTGGTTTACTTAATATTTTCTGTTCAAGGGTCTGGACACTTTCAGGTGAGTTCGTAGCTAATACTGAATATTGGCTGTGGTTAATGTTTTAAAAGGGTGCAGCAAATGCCTATGTGTAGTATGGAGGGCTTTCCTTATGACTCCTGACCTGATAAGTAGAGTAGGATGCTGATGTCTCTGGTTGTTGAGAAAAGAGTACTTCATTCTTCTCTAAAATAGACTGTTTTAATTAACTCAGTTTGTCCCTCAAAGGCTAAGACTAAATTGCATCCAAACATAATGAATCAGAATAGGGTTTATACCCTATATAAATGCTTTCACACAACTACAATGAAATAAGTAAATAAAAAAATCCACAGAAAGCAAGTGATTGCTGCTCTTTTCTCTGCATACCAAAATAAATATTATAAGTGAACAAGCAGTTACAAATCACAGCTTTCTAAAGTCAGCAAACTCATAGATGGCTTTATTACAGATTTTAATAAAAACTGTTTTGCCTGAATTGTGGTTTCTAAAAGTTAGGAAACTGGGAAGCATGGCCATGATTCTTCCAGAGCTGTGTCTTGACTTCATATTTAGTGAGGTATTTGTCAACAATTCGTTGACAGATTTGTGCCTAGTTTAAAGTTACATTTGACCTGGTAATGCGAAATTGCAGGTTAGCTGTGTTGGAGAGTCAGCTAAACTCAATTGTTCCAGGTGAAGAAAGTTCAATTTACCTCTTTACATATAAACTATTTATAGAAGTCAGCTGAATTTAAAATCTAATGAACCAACCCAAATACAGCTATCTTGGCAATACTGCTGGAGGATTGCAGTGAGATACACATACAGTGATTTGGCAAATGCAGTGTAATATTGAAAAGTAATTTTCAGCATGCCGGTTGATGCTGAAAATAGGCAGTTATGTTGGTGCTCTTAGACAAGGAAGCCGGGAAGGAAAGACACATCGAAGTCAGGATGTGGGTGGTTGATAGTGCCTTACCCTTCCAGTTTTCACAATGTAGTAGACCTTTATGAGAATGTGAGATTAACTTCTCTAATAATATTCTGTTATCCCAGGTGTCTCTTTTCTTTCTGCCTTTATTTTTCCTCTGTTCCTTTTGCTAATTTTCATTGAAGTCTGGCTTGAGCAATCTAGGACTGCATGTCTTACGGCAGCAGTATGTGCTGGTAACTTACATAGTGCACTGCATCTCTTGGACTCTTGTATCATAACTGGCGTAAATTTGCCTAAAGGGATGATACATTGTATGTGGCCTTGGTTTATTTTTCATTTGTTTGGGGGGTGTTTTTAAGGGGTGTCCTTAAATAAGTTAGATGCAGCCTTGGATTTGTGGTTTCTTTCATTTTCTTTCTGAATATTTGTCTTGTTGGAACTTCTTTCCACTTAACTGAAGGAGGAACTAAAAGCAACTTTGACTTCTGTCTTTGAAGAATAGCTGCACTCTTCTAATTCTATATGAAAGTTTGTTAACAGAGAGGGAACAAGGGAAGGAAGGAATAGATTTGCTCTAGAAGTATCTACAAGTAACAAGGAGTAGCTAATGGACTGTTCTGTAGTAGAACATTCATCTTGATTCCTTGCACTTCAGATGTTTTTACAACACCTTTTCAGCCTCTGTTACAAAGCTTAAAAAACCTCCAGTGGTAATTGTGAGAGATGAATTCAGAGACGTTCTTTGTGGTCAAACTCTAGAAGATATATTTTAGGTGGAAAAAGCCAAATGATACTTCTGACTTTCTTGATGTAAACATTTTAGAAGTCCACTCATTTATTTAATTCCAGCATAAATAGATATGCTCTCATTATGTCTGTTCTTACATATTTAAATTTTTGTTCCAGGGTTTTGCTAGAATGGATTCAGCAATAGGGTGTGAGAAAAGTCAAGACTGGGGATCTCCTGGTTTTGGAGGTGTATTTAAGGTGGAGTGGATCCAAAAAGAAAGCATTCCTTTTCAGTTTGCACACCATTTGGTCAACCCTTGGAATGACAATAAGAAAGTACAAATAAGCAGAGATGGCCAGGTAATGTTATTCTCTTCTGAAGTCTTTACTTGGTAGAATTGTGTATTGTTTATTAACTTGTTCAGCCTTGACATTCATCTCAACTGTCCTCATATATCTGTTAATCTGAATCAGAGTTCATTGATCTGCACTGTGCCTTTTGCTAATGGAGAATTACTGTTGAACTAGTGGAAACACTGGATAAAATAAAAGAAGTTTATTACTTAATTTGTATTTTAAAAAATAGATAATTTAAGTCTGGATACATCAACAAATGAATGTTTGAGGGTTTTTTTAATTTCAGAGGTTTGTTCCATATTTGGTTCAGATGTGTTCCCTGAAATAGTCTGTTACACCCAAATAACTGTTCATAATTAGAGCTTTGAGTTTTCTGTAAAACCTGAAGAGAATCTTGATATTTGAGATGGAATAAAGCTTAGGACTGTTCTCCACTTTGTTAAATCTAAATTCAACTACAAAAAGATGGAAAAGAATTGGCACAAGAGTTCTCTGGCAGTTTCTGTGTTCTCCTCAGTCCCCTCCCAAAACATATCATTTGTACAACATTGTAGAGCTAAACTTCCTGTATTGTCTTCTCACTGCTTCCCCAAAACCTCTCCAGTTGTAAGAATGAGGAAAGGAGCATGCTGCAAGAACAAGGACAGGAATGTAGCACATGCTGTAGTTGACAGTAAGACCTAAAGAATCTCAATGATCCTAAAAACAAGTGGTTTATATTGGTTTGTATGATTCCACCAAGAGCCACTGTATGACCTGTGACCTGCCTTTCCATGTTCTCCACCACACTTGATTGAATTAAACTTAAAAGATGTAGAGAATGATAATCTTTAGTTAATGAGAAAGTGACATGTGGAAGGTATGAATTCTGTGGTGGATCTGTTCTTGTATATGGTGGTGATGTGTTCATTGGGAATTCTCTTCATGAGAACTGACATGTTGCAGTGAAGGAAAAAAACCCCAACAGCCTGTAGGCTAGGGTTGCTTATGGAAGTTTTTAATCTCCTGCTGAGCCCTTCCTGTGTGTGGAATTCTAATGTATGACTCAAGGGCAAAAGGAACGACCTTTTTCAGAAAGGTTGAAAGCGTTCACTGGCAACCTCTTCTAAGAATTTTGTAATTAATAGTTCTTCTGTGTCAGTAGTACAGTGCTAATAAGTTCTCTAATTTCTTGATCATTTCTAGGAGCTGGAACCACAAGTTGGAGAGCAGTTGCTGCAGCTTTGGGACCATATTCCTTCAGCAGGAAAAAACTCAACTGATTAAGCATGTCAGATAATGTGATGGAGGTATGCATTGTTTTCTGGTTTTATGATAGAGGAAAAGATTTCTACATACAGTGTATTGTTACAGTACTGCCTTTTGCTTGTGGGTTGTGGAAGAGCAGTTGCACTTGGGACTAATTCTCTTCCTTTTGGTTTCTTTTAGCTGTGGTTGTTGGAACATCAGCTCTAACCACAAGAACCAGCAGCGTGTCTACAATATAAAGATGAGGAAGAAGGCGGCGCAACAGATTCCTGAAGCTGCTAGTCATACTGTGCAGCTAGGAGTGGAAAAATAAGAGGGAATTATGTTGGTTTCAGTGTTTCCTAGTCTTAACAAGTGTCAATAATATTATCCACCAATCTGTTTTTGACTGAATTATTTTTCTACAGTAGCATCCAGTAGATATTTAAAAACATGGTAAAGTTCAACTGATTTTGAAACAATGCAACACCTGTAAGTTATTCTTGGGTTTAAAGTAGCGCAGCAGACTGTTTAAACACACAGTTTACATTTAAAGACTTCTCCAGTAAAATCCAGTAAAGTGTGTGAAAGAAACCAGTGTAATGTTAATTAACCAATCTTGCAGTTTGCGTAAAAGAAATAAATTGAGAATAAATGGCTCCAAATAGAATAGAGGATTCCATAAGTGTTTGTATGGCAGTGCAAATTTCTGTATGACAGTGCAAGAGAGCAGGATATATTCATACAAACACTTAGACAGCTGGAGAATATTACTTTTTAATTTAAATTCATGAGACTTTTGAGTGTGGGTTGGTCCAGTAGTGTTTCCAGTTTCAAATATTTTTTACCTTTAAGAAGTACTCACACTTGGATAAGCTGGAACAGTCTTTCAGAGGCCTGTTGCCAAATGGCACTCTAATAGTTCACTAACTTGGGCATTATTAGAAGACTTTTACTTCTTTTATAAAAAATAAAAAATAATTAGCAGTACCACTTCTGTCATCTTTCAGTGTAGTTCATGCTTCCTTTCTATACCTTGTCTTTCAAATTCTTTTCTTTCTTCCATACTACTGTTGTTTTGCTTTATTTCCCTTCTCCGTAGTCTTTAACGTCCTGTACTATAAGGCTGGTATAAATTCAGTCTGCTTATTGTCAGCACTATATGTTTGTGGTCATTCTCAGGTTAAGAGCTTTTTCTGCTCCTGATCTGCTACTTAGTTTCTCACAGGATGTTCTCCCAAATATACCCTGTATATTTGTTCTTGCATTCTGTGTAATGACTTCCATATGTAAACTGTCGGTTTTAGTAGGTTTAGTGCCAAGACTAGCAGGGTCTATGTAATGCTGTAATGCCTAATGCAGTGTTTCTGGAGATGGTGCACACAAGGGAGCTGTGAGGCTCGTATTACCTTATACAGTACTTGCAGACCTGTGCCCATAAAGAAATCTGGGGTGTGTTGCCCTGTGTAGGATTATGGGTCCCCATGCACTGCAAGGACAGAACTGGCACAGAAGGAGAGCAGGGGCAAGCGTAGTGTTTGGTTAAGGAGCCTGAAGAGGGCTTCTGCAGCTTGATGATAAGAACAGTCCAGCCAAGGACTTTGCATTCCTCAAGGGCATTGTCTGGTGTAGGTCTCTTGTTTGGAGAAGAGATTGTGCCCTGCCGCCTGAGTCACAGCCACAGTCATGTAATTTTTGGCATGCCCAGATGTTTTGTCTCACCCAGTCTTGGAGGATTATTTGACTTGCTCTTGTTACAACCCAGGTACTTGTACTACTGATCTGTATTTTTGCCTGTACTGTAATTTGGAGATGGACTGTTTGTCCCTGAAGCTGTTGGTCTGGTGTTTGTAACCATATTCTATAACCTGGCACAGCTGCCTTAAGCCCTTACGCTCTGGTGTTAGAAGTCGGATGTGATACACTGCATCATGGGCAGCCCTGACCCTGTAGCAGGTGCCTCAGTTGATTACTTCAGGACTTTGCCATGCCCATGCATGTCAGATTCTACTTTGATTAGAGCAAATCAGATGGATGGAAACACAAAGGAGAGTTCCCCTTATATCTTTTAGAGGTACTGAGCAGGATTTGAAGCAATGCAGTTTACTACCTACAAAAAGATCCATCCCTTACCCAGCAAGACCCTGGGGCTGTGATAGAGGAGAAGGCTTTAGCCCCTGTCTGTGTTAAAAGCCATCAGACTAATGTGGGGAGCAATGCGTGATCCTCCAGGTAACAGTATCTGCCTGTGAAACATTTGATCATTGTCTGGAGGCTGTGGAAAAGGAAATCTCTTTATATAGAGTCCCAGAAGACAGGGACTGTTTTAACCAATTGTTAAAACAGAATGTGATGCTTGACAGATGCCACTATACACTCTTTCACAAGCATCTGATGTAGCCGAACTAAGCAGGTGCTGTCACAAATCTGTTACTGTAAACTATTTAAGCTGGCTGGCAAATATGTTACACAGCAGGTGGAGGACACCATCTGAGTTTCAGACTGGAAAGCCTGGAGTCTCACTTTGGAGTCTGGGATCCAACTGCAGTTTCCAACAGGAAGTGCAGATACTCTCTTCCAGGCAGCACTAGGACATGTTCAGAGAAGTACCCCAAAATGATTGAGGACCCCTGGGCCAGTCCCACAGATTTGGGTTGAGTTTGGCCAGGGTGGTCATCAGTCATGCTTTAGAAGTAGCACCTATTGGCAGAGGAACATTGTGTGGACATTGTCCCACATGTTTCATAAGTGCCCGCTAATCAAAAAAGGTCCTGGTCCACTTGGAGCCCATTTCAATAGGCACTGGCCTTACAGGCACAGCAGCCAACCTCACATGGGCCCATCTCTTACAAAAGTTAGTGTCTGGAGAACAGATCTAATGGACTTTTCTTGATGCTGCTGAAGCATTTAAATGCTCATCTGTAAGGACATAATTCTGCTTGCTTTTAAATGATTTGAAAGAAAAAGCTTCAAGAAACTTCCCTCTGATCTCTCTCATTAGATGATTAGTGTTATGGCGACCTTGCTTTCTCAGGGAGACTCCTTTATTTTCTGCATTGTCATCCATACAAATTAGTAGGTCTCATCTAGTAGAAATAAGGACATCTTTATGGCTAGCCATCACTTCAGTTAAATTGTTGCAAAATGTCTGTACAGTTATTTCACTATGGAGCAATGATTTCCCGATAGTTCTTTCTGCAGAATCCTCTGCTCTGGTTTCATGTTGTGTCTGTAAGACCACAGCTTTGAATGTTTTGGAAAACCACTCCCTACAGCCATGAAGCATCTTCTGGTTTCCTGACCTTGAGTATTGACATTCTCTGTTTTCACTTTGTATCACCTGGGTACCCGAAGAGACAGATCTTGGTAACCATGTGTCTGATGTTACCAACAGTATCATCCCTCTGTGGAAGAGCTTCAGGGCTGCACCTCTGTACTGGGATTTTTAGGGGACACCTCATCTGGCTGATCATGACTGAGTGTGATTAAACTCAGTGAAGTGAAAACTAAAGCAGGATGAAGGCCCCAGAGGTGGCCCTCTGTATCTGAAAAGACAACTTTTATCTATGATGACAAATGGGAGAAATAGCCCATCACCCTCTTCTGTGCAACAGTAAAAATGCCATCTTGGAGGTTGTAAGCCAGGAGTGATTTACTCTGCTTTAAAGTAAATGAAGTTCTTGCAAGCTAGACCATTGCCCATAAACACTGGAGTGAGGAGAAAGGAAACATAAATGGAGGACAGCCACAGGTTTGCAAATTTTTTTCATACATGAAAACTTAGCAGTATTGATTCAGGGCAATTCTTGTCATGTTCCTCAATGCAGCAGGTAAGATCTTTGCCAGTGGCTCATGAGAAAACGCTGAGGTGTGCTGCCTTCTCAGGAACAGATTTCTGAAAATAGGTAAAAGCAGCAAGCTGTTTTGCCACAGACAGAATTTGGTTCCTTTTGCTAGGAACAAAAGTAAGTTTGTTAAGTATTTTTTAAGGGTTTTTTTTTGTTAAATATTTTACTTTTATAAAAATCTTACATTTGTATTGGTTATTTGTTACAACTACTTATTCGAATATTTGCTTTTTTAATTTTTTTTGCCACTATTGAACTGGTATAATTTTTGCTCCATCATTCCAACAGCTGTAAAGACATTTCCTCTGGTCCTTGTGGGTTTAATTTCTACTGTGAAATTTTTTGCAGTTTCTGTCAAAATGAAATCACAGCTCATAACTGGCAGATTTCTCTGAGCTGATTGGATCAGTCCATAATTACCCCGAGGTGCTTTGTCTTTAAAGTGAATTAGACTGGTTTCTGCAATTACTAATTTTTCCCCCTTTTTTTTTCTCATGTGGAGCTGAAGTGATTGTCCCAGAGCAACCACTTTCTGGATGTATTCAGTCACTATCTGAATGACATTAGCTGTTAAAAGAAATTTTTGTCACTAGGCTCTCATCTCCATCTGTTAGATGTATTGGCACAGATCAATTATGATACCTAGTAGCTTGATCTTGGTGCCTTAAAAGAGAGACCCCATAAAAAGGAATCCCTGGGCAATTATGCACTTACAGTCTAAACTCCCCATCCCTCATGTGACAGTCCAGACAAACACCATTATTAGGGTCTGTGGTGTTTTTGCTCTTTGTTGCTTCACTGTTTTGTTACCAAGTGGTTGCTATGTGGTCCCCTTCACATCCTCTTAGGTTGGTTTGGGTAGGGGTCAGTTCTGTAGTCCATGGTACAATCTGGTTGTTGCAGTTCACAGACCATGATCTCTGGGTTGTCCGGTCCAGCTATTAATTTTTAACTAATATTTGGGGGATAACCATGTCTATTCTAACTGTTGTTAATGTTCATATTGTTAGCTCCAGGTTTCACTATCATCCGTCTTTGACTTAGACATACTCAACATATATAGTTTAGATAAAGTTCAACTTGTGGCTTAACAATTCTAGCTACTTCTGTCAAGCAAGCACTTAGCTACTTTCAAATAATACAAAATTTTAAACATTAGTAGTTTGTCTCCTGTTGCTCTACATCTTTCTTCTAGCACTTAGCTGCACTGTTACCTTTCCTGTGGATCGTGCTATGTTGCTTTCAACCATCTCTCAGCTGTCTCTGTTGCATCTTCTAACAGGTACCACAGGCCAGAAAGTAGGTGATGCTGCTCTGGATTAAAAGCTTTATTTGTTGTTTTGATTCTTTTGACAGATGTTGAAAGGGTGTTGCCTAGATCAAAAGTGTAAATCTGGGTTTAAAGACAAATCATGAAAGTAGACTGAGAGAATAGCCCCAGTAGAGAATAAAAATTAAGAGTCCTTAAGATATTAAAAAGTATGCCCATAATTAAATCAGGCAATTCAGAAAGGTTGTATTTTATTTGTGTCAAACCCAGAAGGAGTTTTAATGCTAATTTCATACCTTGGGGATGTGAAATCATTATTTTTTGCCTTGTGTTGTATAGTGCATAGCTCTGAGATTCACAAGCTGATCTTGTAAGTTTGCCTGTGTGAGTGGTCATATTACATTTGGTACTGTTGATATATGAGCAAAGGTTGTAGCTCGAGGCTCTTAAATAATATACCACTTTGTTCTATCCATATGGAATGTCTGGTGAAGCCTAGCAGCAGTCAAATAAGATTAAGAAACGGAACAAAACACAATTGCCAAAGTTGCTACTATATGAGGATGTTCTGGACACTGGGCAGAAACTGTGGATGAAATTGTATGACACATGTAAAATAGATTTAATAACTTCTGCTCTTGTAAACCATATTGATAATCTGTTTTAAAAGCAAGCTGTGTGGAAATAGGAACTGACTCTCTGTGCACCGACAAGCTTTCTGTGAATTTTAGCTTATAGTGTGTCTAGTTAAGAGCACAAAACTTCCTTTATTTGATTGTTTTGATGGGTCTTTTCAGATTAAGCATCTCTTTTCATACTCATGCTTCTTGTATTAGTTTAAGTGCAGTTAGTAATGAAGAAATCTGTCTTGCAACTCGACAATTTCAGCATTTCAATGGCTGCTACTTTCAACAGCTTATCCACTGCTAAGTTCCAACATGCCCTAAACCAAAGTACAAAGTAAGATTTCATTGCTGTAAGAGAACTGCTGTGCTCTATTCATAGCTTTTTTATGAAAATGGGATCTGCTTTTTATTCTAGGACAGGCCTAGGAAGTGGAGCAGAA